CTTTAAACTTCTAAGATCCTATACAAAGCATGACAAGTCAGACATGGATCTAAAGAAAACTGCCATCTATTATTAAAAATATATTCTTTTTAGGTTAAAATTTCCTGCAAACCCTAAATCTGAAGACTTTTTGCTTACCGTCTTGCCTGCTTGTTATACAGATTCTCACATAGCTCAAGACAGCCTCAAAATCCATTCAAAGCCAAGGATGACCTTGAACTGCTGAAACTCTGCCTTCATCTTGGGAGGATTAAGGTATGTGCCATCATGTGTAATTATTTAATGCTGGGGATCAAATCCAGATCTCTGTGAATGCCAGGCAAGCATCCATCAACCAAGCTATATCCCAACCACAGCCACTGATGTTTACCAATAATTTCTTCATTAATGGAAAAATCTAGACTTCAGTGTAAGCAAACCATTTTAAGAATCAATGATATTTACTAGTATTTCTTATTTATGCTTTCTTCTTAATTTTTTAAAAATATTTTATTTTCTTTTGGTTTTTCAAGACAGGGTTTCTCTGTGTAGCCTTGGCTGTTCTGGACTCACTATGCAGATCAGGCTGGCATCAACTCAAGAGATCCACTCACTTCTGGCTCCCTGAGTGCTGGGATTACATGTGTGTGCTGCCACGCCTAGTTTTGTCTTTTAATTTTGTATTTTTTAAATTTATTATAAGGGCTGGAAAAATGGCTCAGTGAATAAAAGCACTGACTATTCCGAGGACCCACCATGTTTAATTCTCAGAATCGAAATGGCAGTTCAAAACTAACTATAGCTCTAGTCCCAGAGGTTACAATACCCTCTTTTGGCCTCTGCAAAAACCAAGCATGCATGTGGTACACAGACATACATGCACGTAAAACCACCATACACATAAAAAAAAAAAATGAATAAAATCTACAATGTATTACATTTGCTGTTGGAGTACATCTGTGCAGGCTCCAACATCACACTTAGTTCTCTTTCCACTATGAGGGATTTGGAACTCAGTTGTCAGAGTTGGCAGCACGTACCTTTATAGGCTGAATCATCCTCACTAGGTTCCTTGTATCTGAATTTTTTTTTTTTTAAGTTTGAGTACTAGCTGCCTTTGAACTTACAGACATAGGCCTACCTCTACATCTTAGGTGCTGAGATTAAAGGTGTGTATGGCACCTCCACTGGTCTTTGAGGTTGGTTTTTTGAGACAGGGTTTTGCCATGTAGCTCAGGCTAACATCAAACCCACAACACTACTTTCTTTCTGTTTAATTTTTATTTTATTATTTTTTACAATTTATTCACTTTGTAACTCAATTGTAGCCCCCTCCCTCATCTCCTTCCGGTCCCATTCTCCCTCCCTCTTCCACTCCTAGTTCACTTAAAAGGGGGAGGTCCTCCTCTCCCCTACTATCTGACCCTAGCTTATCATGTCTAATCAGGACTGCCTGGACCTTCTTCCTACTCTCTGTTTTTCCCTTTCTTTTGAGACAGGTTTCCTTTGTGTATCCTCCGGCTGTCCTCGACTCAATTCAGGTTGGCTTAACTCACAGCAATCTGCCTGCCTCTGCCTCCCTCATTGCTGGGATTAAAGCAGGTAACACCGGCTACACTACTTTCAATGCAGAACCTAGTTTGCCTTTAGCTAACAGTTCCAGTACACAATGGAAAAGTAATTGAAATAAACTAAAGAAACATGCTTCAAGCAACAAAATTTAGAGCCAAGACAAACACCCAGCTATTAAGATACTGCTGCCCTATCTGACAACCTTGCTAACGGCTAATTTTAGGCAATTGGAAAGTGCTTTCTCAAAGTACAAACTATTCTAAATTTGCACTAAAACAAGAACAGGGCACTTACTGGTGCTCATTTACAGAGCTGCTGGAAAACTCTCTTCTGACAAACACAAGCACACATGTATGCACTCATGCACAAGAATGTGGAGATAACGCACATATTATGGGCAATTCTTGCTCCTCCAGAGGACCCACGTTCAGTTCCCCACATCCACATTAGACAGCTAACAAATGCCTGCAATTTCAGCTCCAGAGCATTGGATACTCTTTTCTGACCTCTTTAGGCACCCCCACATACATGGCATAGAGACACATGCACACAAAATGAAGACTAGAAAATAACAGAAATAATAAGTGAAAGGTCATTCTTGAGCTCAAGGCCAGCTCAGGCAATAAGAAAGTCCTAAAAATAACATTAAATAAAAAGAAGAAAAAGAAAAGAAACCTTCTTTTAGGTGAGCCTGGTGGCATGTGCATGTACACTCAGTACTTGGGGTACAGGGGTGTGAAAGGTGAGAAATGGGTACAAAATGAGCTGAGGGCATATTCTTTTTTCCCCAAGTAGAAAATTGGACATGTTTAGTCATGTCTGAAAGTCTAGCACTTGACAGGTAGAGAAAGGCAAACTGCTGTGAATTAAAAGCTAGCTTGTCTATACAGTGGTTTCCACTCTAGCCATTGCTACAAAATAAGACATGTTTCAAGAAAAATGAAGGAGTGGGGAACACCAACAAAGGGAGAAGTAATAGGCTACTGAATGCCTACAGGATAAAAACATTCCCAAATAACTAATTTAGAAAAGAAAATCTGCAGTGGTTAGTGTTACCAGGCTACTAAGGTAGACATGAGGATGTATTTGAAGCAATGGCCACACTTCCACACTCCTAAGGTAGCACTGGCCTAATATACCATCTTTCCGCATTACTAGCATTGTTACTAATTATATATGTATATAAAATCAGCCATTATGCCATGTACCCTTTACACCATTGGTTCTAAACTTTCCTAATGCTACAACTCTTTAATAGAGTTCTTCATGTTGTGGTGATGCCCCATAAAATCATTTTTGTTGCTACTTTATAATTATAATTTTCCTATTGTTATGAATTATAATGCTAATATTTTGGAGATACAGGGTCCTCAAAGGGGTCATGATCCACAGGTTGAGAATCACTGCTTTATGGGTAAATCTAAAAAACTTTCACCACTGTTTGTTTGTTATCATTGGGTGTTTTCAACTACTCTAAGTTTGCCACTTCCCATTTTTTTCTTTAAGTGGGGGCTTTTCTCTGAATGTATTCTGAAGGAAGTTGGCAACATATTTAGAGTCTAGCTTAAAATGTGATTATGTTAAATTCTTGATGTTTACTTAACAGTTATTAAATGAAAACATTCCATTTCATGAGAAGGATCACACAGGTGAACTGCAATAGCTAACATGTAAATTAATGTATTCAAAGCATTTATAATAACAAACATAAACAGCAGTAGAATTAACCCAATTTAATATTCAAAGCACAGTATTTTAGCATTATAACACTAGAATCATACCGTGATAATTTAATCATTCATATAAGCAAAGAGATGGAAGGCTACACTGGCCCTCTTAGCATGGGACAAGGACAGCACATGCCCACATAGAATTGCTTTGAGTTCCATGCATGAACACATATATGGGGCTTAGCACCAAGCTTGGTTTGCAGGAGAACTGTATTAGCATTAGCTATTCTAATAGGTTACTTGGCCCTCATCAGAAAACCATGAAATGCTACAAAAAGGCTGACTTGCAGCAGTAGTGGAAAATTACATACCTGACTTCAAATGATAACATGTAGTAAAGAATATATACTAAAATTACCAAAGGAAATTTTCTTCATTCCTTTCTTATTTTGAGTCTTGTTTATCAAGAGTGATCTTGAATTTCTATGCCACCACACCCAAGTTTAAAAGGTACTGAGACCAAAGCCCCAGCATGTCAGATGAACAATATCAACTAAGATACATTATCAGCTCATTATTTTCAGGATGTGTGTATAAATACATAAACAGTCAGATAAACAGTAAGCACTTGAGAAGCCAAAGCAGGAAGACTGCCAAGAGTTAAAAAGGTCAGCTTGGTGTATAAGGTGAGCCCCAGGACAGCCTGGTCTACAGTGAGATTGTGCCAAAAGAGGAGGGGAGTGGAGGGGAGGGAAGAAGAGAAGAAAGGAAGAAACTAACAAGGAAGCAAGTAAACAAACAAAAAAAGTGCAGGCATCATAGCACAAGCCTTTAATCTTTAATTCCAGCATTTGGGAAGGAGAGGTAGGTAGATTTCTGAGTTTGAGGCCAGTATAGTCTAAAAAATGAGTTCTAGGACAGGCAGGGCTATACAGAGAAACCCTGTCTCAAATACAAAAACAAACAAAAAACCAACAAAATAATCCACCCACCCACACACCCAAACATACAACGCCCCCCAACCAAACAAGCTGAATAAAAAAAACCTGTAAATTTATGAAACTCAAAATCTGAAATGATTTTGCTTCCAGCATCAGAGAATAAACAGTCAACCTAGATTTTTATGCAGCAAACATTTTCAGTATACAATTCCGTGGAGTTACATATATTCACACCATAATGTAACAACCATCAGCAACCATTTCTAGAACCTTCTTGGCACCCTCAACTGAAACTTTATAAGCATTCCTAAGAGCTGTTACCTTAGTGTTCCAGAGTTACTCCTGTAGAAATCTCAGAGGCTGCTAATCCCCAGGTGCAGGCATAGTGGTTCAGACCTGCAACCCCAATACTCAAGAGGCTAAATTCAAGGCTTGCTAACAACAATACAACACACACCCTGAATCTTGTCCTTTCAAGACAAGATAATGCCTTCAAGGCTCATCAATTTCATAGTTCATTCAGAAAGGTATTTCAGTAGTAATTTAAAAACAAGTTTAATTCCCATGCCACTTCTGTTTTTTTGAGACAAGGTCATGCCCACATTGGTTTCAAACTGATGAGCCCCTTCTGAGTCCAAGGGCTAGGATTACAGGTGTGCACCATCATACTCAGTCAAGTTTTATACATTTATTTTGCCAATACACATAGTGAAAATGTTTTCTATGTCCTATGAAATGGGTAACCTGGGGAAGAATGCTCTTTCAGAGCAAGAATCTATCCCACTTTGAATACTTTGGTATTACCAACACTGTACAAGGTGGGGATGAATGGGGTACATTACCTTTGTAAGTCAATCTGTCTCTCTGCTGGTGCTGCCTTTTTGGCTCCATCTTGTAGCTTGGGTGCTTTGGCATTACCTGCTTCCAGACCCCCAGGACTCTCCTGGCTGCCTGCAGCTCTCTTCCTTCCCTTGCTAATGGGTTTATTTAGATCATCATTTTTGGTTGCATTGCCCTGAGATTCAGATTTGGGGCGACGTCCTCTCCTGGGTTTGGAAGGGGCAGGAGGTCCTGACTCATCTACTTTTTCATCTGTTTTTTGCTGGATATTCTCAGCACCAGCTGCCGTTACAATTCTTTTCTTTCCTCGGTCACTGCTGATGTTGCCTTGGGTAGGCTGATCAGAATTAATTTCCTAAAAGAGTATAAAAACAAATTTGTACACATAAATTCCTTAAATGTCTGAGCATACTAGAAAAAGATTATGAATTAAAACAAACTGATATAATTTTGTGTTTGTATGTGTAGAGCCTTATTTGTGTGTGTGTAGAGCCTTAAGTGTAATAGGTATCCTCTTCAATTCTCAACCTTATTCCAGGTCTCTTCCTGGACCTGGAGCCTGTGATTTTCTGATCAGTTGGTAGGTAGCAAATCCCAGTAGTCCTACTGTCTTTCCCCTTGACCCCCTGGCTGGGGTTACAGATGTACATGCAACCACACCTATATGAGCGCCTGGGTATTGCTCAGGTTTTTTGTTGTGCAGCAAATGCTTTTTACCACTGATTCATCTTTCTAGCTCCTAGAAAGCACTTTAAACATGTTACTACATTTTACTTGTCTGTTGTGTGTGCAGACTTCAATCCTATGGCACTTGTCTCAGGTCAGAGAACCACTTACAGGAGTCAATTCTGTCACTGACCATGTGGGACCTAGGGATTGAACTCAGATTATCAGGCTAAATGGCAAACATCTTTATGAATGGAACCATGTCCACAGACCCCTTGAAAGCATTTTGAAGAAGTTAGAATGCCAGGGTTTCTGACTGCTCCCAGAAGACAAGGACTGTGCCTGGAGCCTACCACCAAGGTTAAGGGCTCCATCACAGAAGAGGAGGGAGAAATAATGTATGTACTGAAGGGTGGGGAGAAGTGCTTTCAACTCTTGAACTCACTGCAATTCTGAGTTACTGCACATGATCAAGTGAACAAGATGTGGGAAGATTCCAAAGAGCAGCACTAATTTGACTGAGAAGGTTACAAACACACAAAAAAGCTCCAACTCCATGAAAGCCCACATCCTTTCTTCTCTCCTCCTCTGGCAGCCACACACACACACATACACACCTTAAAGAAAATCTACTTGGTTATCCCATCATATCTGATAGTTCCTTTTTTACTACGAGCATTCTGTAAATGTATCACTTTTTATGGAAGGGACATTTTTATAATTCAACGTAGCTTTATTATGTTGCCTCTGGGTAATAATTTTTGTTCTAATTTCCTTAGTTTCTGACCCCATTCACTGAAGTTTTTTTCCCCTTTAATGTGAAATCAATCATTAGCCCACTTTTGCTATTAAAAAAAACCCCCAAAACATTAATTCATGTAAAATGTTACAAGTAATAAGATCCCATTTCATCAGGTTTAATGGGCTTTGGAAGAAGCAATGATAGGCAGAAAGAAATTGGCCTTCTCATAGATGGTACTAAAGAAGCAAATTATGATTTTAATTGTTATAATTCTAATCAATTAAAAGAAAAGAGAAGCTTGGCTTGACACACACTATAATCCCTGTATGTGAGAGGTTGGGGTAGGGAATGATTGTTAGTTTGAGGTCAGTACTGGTTGGTTACAAAACAAGTACCAGATAAGCCTGAATTACATACATAAAGCAAAACAAATGAACCAACAAACAAATAAAATCAACAACCAACAAACAAAACACCAAATAGAAGAAAATGACTATGCCAAAAAAAAAAAAGCCAAAAAACCCCCACAAACCCAAACTTTTCTACAATTTTCATTGTTCCCAGAAAAATAATTCCAGAATGAATGGGGACATATTAGAAGTCTTCATGCTTATGGCAACATCCAGAAATCACTGTTACACCCTATGCTTTATTTCAAGTCTTCTTTTGAAAGTATCGGTAATCCAAAGTGCTGGCCTAAAGTAGTACACATGAACTGCAACCCAGCAACGCCTAACAGATTAGAACAGGATAAATCTGCCAGGTCATTTTGAAGAAACAATGTGTCAGTCACACAGCCACTGTTTGTTGACTGGCTCAGGGCCTTGTCCAGGGCCAAGCCCTCTATTACTGAGATAAGCCCCAAACCAACCAAAATGTAGGTGCATGTGTGTGAACCTAACATTAGGGAGGCTGATGCACAAAGATTTCAAGTTTGAAGTCAACCTGAGCTATAAAGCAAATTGCCCATAAGGTCACACTCACTTATGAGAATTATGTACATATATATATGCAAGTGTAAGGAAAAGCAAGTAAAAAGCTAAATGTGGAGGGAGGCAGTTCTGATAAGGTCCCTCATCTGAATCCATGCAACTTGGTTCTTTGAATACATCCTGTATTCATTCTTTATATTACAGTGCACCCAACAGAACAAATAAAAATAGCAAATACACTGATTTATAAATATACATATCTGAGTTGGGTGTGGTGGCACATACCTATAATCCTAGCATTTGAGAGAGTGAAGCGAGAAGATGGCCTTGATTTCAAGGGTTTAAATAATAAGTACCAGGGCAGTTGGGACTATGGATTAAGACCCTGTCTCAAAAAGAAAAACAAAACAAAACAAAACAAACAAAAAAAACCTTCACCAAAACAAATAACAAAACAGTAACAAATACACACTTTATATATCAAATTTCCTGGAAAAACTGGTTAGCAAGAAATACTCCCTTTACATCTCTAATTACAGAAATATAGTAAGCCTAGAGGTATGAAGGTCAAACCTGAGGAAAACCTGAGATTTACAGTATCAATTTAAAAATACCTGATTGAAGCCAGGGGAGGTGGCACACTGTAATCCAAACACTCAGAGAAAGAGGCAGGCGGATCTCTGGGGGTTCAAGGCCAGTCTGGTCTACAAAGTGAGCCCAGGAGAGACAAGGCTACACAGAGAAACCCTGTCTCAAGAAAAGAAAACAAACAAAACAAAAAACCACCCCCCTACCCCTTCAAAAAAAACCTAACTGAAGCTGTTACATTTTTTTGAAAATTCAACCCTGTCATATCAATCTTAAGAACATTCTTTCGAAGTGTAAAAAGTTGAATGAAGGGTTCAGTCTGCTATTTCAATTCAACCAGAGTAAAGTTTTGACCTTTCAGAAATTAGAATTTACATGTTCAACTTGCCTAGGGTTGTAGCACAGGTATAGGTAGAGGACAGTGACTACAAGCCCATGAATGCACTACATCTAATTATTCTAAGCATATGCAACTCAATGTCTGTAGCAGTATATGTACATTAAGTTTCTTTATGCCCAACCTAAATTGTGTACAGGATACCATAATAAGCAAATGTATTGGTTTCTACATTGCAAGAATTTTGGCAGTGAGATGTTTTCTGTCTAGATTCTGTTTTAAGACATTCTTACTTACATGAACTAATAATTTCATTAAACTAGTGAGTGGCAGAGCCAGAATTAAAGCCAGATCTGACATGTCTGCTCAAAAACTGGTAAGAAAATGGGAGGGGGCTCGACGTGTTTGCTTAGTGCTTAAGAGCACTTATTACTCTTGCAGATGAACTGTGTTCAGACCTAGAACCCACACTGTAGCTTACAACCACCTGAAATTCCAGTTCCAGAGAATACAATACCCTCTTCTGACCTCTGTGGGCACTTGGCACACTGACATATACAAAGCAAAATAGCCATACACATAAAACAAGATTAAGTCTTTAAACAAGAAAGAAAGCTGGGAGGTAGGAATTACTGTTCTTGCACAGGACTCAACTTCATTCCCAGAACCCACATGACAGCTCACAACTTTAAATTCAAGCCCCTATGAATTTATCTCCATTTCCTGGCTTCCACAGTCACTACCACACACATATACTCAATAAATAAGTCCACCTTCTCCACAGAGGAAGACTAGGGAGATAACTCAGCACATAAATGTGCTTGCTGGGAATGGGCCCAGTCCCCAGAAAATATGCATGACAAGCCATATTTAATGGCAAGCATTTGTAACAGTGGATTGGGACATGGAGATAGGTGAACAGGATAGAGCTCAGAGGCCAGCCAGCCTGGAGTAAGCTGAGCAGCACAAATAAAAAGAGACTTTGCCTTAACAAGGTAGAAGTTGAGAAATGATTCTTGAATGTTACCCTCTGTCATGTAGAAAACTGAACTTGTAGCCTCTAAAAGATCAGCTGGTACTTAATTGCTCAGCCATCTTTCTAGTGCCAGCCTCAATCCCCAGGCACTACAAACAAATGAATAACAATTACCTTATTCTTTACAGTATCAATATTCTTTACAGGTGTGACAGAAATTATTCTCACAGGATTTTCCTCATTTTCACTAACTCCAGTTTCGGATGCCTCTGAACTCTGTTCCCTAGTGGAAAAACAGACAAATAAACAAACAAATAAACAAACAAAAATAAAATCAAGGTCTTTTCATTTCATCTACTTTATTACACATTTCTATTCAATATTAACAGTGTAAGAACTAAATCACTGCCTAAAACCAGCTGACAATAAAAAACAAAAACAAAACAAAAAAAAAAAAAAAAAAAAACCTCAAGAAACGGCTCTAAGCATTTTCTTCTCGGGAAAGGAGAACCCAAAGTGAAAATAGTCAATCTTATTTATTCATTGACTATATTGGCTATGAATCCACTTGCCTGGGAGGTATTAAGTCCCTATTTGTTTAAACCATAGCTGTTCTAAAATTTACTTTATATTTTTGGGGTGTACTATGTTATGTAGTATTTTGGTTTGTAATTCCAGTACTCCAGAGGCTGAGACAAGAGGTTTGCTACAAGTTTATAGCACACAGCCTGACTATCTAACAAGAAGACACTGTGTCAAAAAGCACTCTTTAAGCCAGATGTGGGGATACACACCTTTAATCCCAGCATCTGGAAAGCAGATGCAGAGGCAGGTAAGTCTGAGGCCAACCTAGCCTACCTATCAAATTCCAGACTAGAAAGTACATGGTGAGACCCTGTCTAATTATTTAAAAAAAAAAAAAAAAAAAATTCCTAAAACACATGAGTATTATTTTATGCCACTTCTACAGAAGCCCATTGTATGATTCAATGCCTTGGAAGTAAGTTAAAATGTAAGCCAAGCAGTGAGCCAGAGAACAAAATGTATTCAGAGAAAATAAATTGCCTTGAACGACTGCCGGCCGAAGGACTCAGCTCTGAATTGGCGTTAATACTGCTTCCAGTCTCGGTGCCGGTGCTTCTAACATAAGGCTTTCTTCCTGTAGCTGATAAAGGCTTGTTTACTGTACCTAGTACTCCAGTAGGCTTTGGCTGCAAAAAAACAACACACATGTTAGTTCACACTGTAGGGAAAGGAATACATAAAAATTTAAAAACAGCTATAATGTATGCTTTAGCTGTTAAGGCAAGGGTTGCCATTCTCTTGGAATGTTAATAGAAAAGATAATTCTAAAAACTTGTTTGGCTCTTTTAATAAAAGCAAAAGCGTATGAATTACCTTCAGTTAATAATGAGGCAGTATGTATTATGTGCTTTTTTAAATCTCATTTCTTACAACAACACTACCTCTAAAATACATGGGAAGTAATGATGCATTTAGCTTTGAAGTAGCATAATCTACATCACCTTATTTTTATGAAATATAATTTACCTATCACATTAGTGCTTTGAATTATTTGCCTTTATTATCTATTGTTCTATTACTTAGGAAAATATGCTCTGATTTTTTTTTATAAATTGGAGCTTTTCATCACTGCTAGAAATATGTGGCAATGATTCTGAACAGTGGTTAATTGCAGAAAAATATCTGAGAACTCAGATGCTATACAAACTCATAAGTCTTCCCTATAAATCTGGAGGCTTATAGCAGAAATAATACAAATTAAACAAAAATCTGAAGCGAAAAGTTTAATACCTTTCCTGTTAATAGAAGTACTCTTGTCTCTTCTGAAATATAGCTTTTGTCATTACAGAAGTCCTATTAAAAACAAAAACAAAAAGAACAACACTATTGTTGCTTAGTAATGGAACACTATTAACATCTAAATAACATTTCCAGGCTCTACCTCGAAACAGCAACTATAATTGTGTTAATACGTACTTATTGTATGTGACTTGGGCTAATGCAGAAGGTGTATTTTCCCACTTCTGCACCAGAGAACTGCACATAGTAGACAAGAACTTTCCATGACAATCTTTCAGCATCTTAATTTTTTAGTTTGCTCGTTTTGAGACAGGGTCTTTTTACATTGCCCTGGCTGTCCTAGAACTGACTTTGTAGCCAAGGCTGGCCTCAAATTCATTGAGATCCTGCTGCCCCAGCCTTCAGAGTAATGAGAATAAAGGTGTGGGATACCAAAGCCAGCAACAAATATTTTGTTTTCATATGTATGAGTGTTTTGCTTGCATTTGCATTAAGTGTACCGTGTGTATGGAGTGACTGTGAAAATTACTTCAGCAAGTTAAACTTCATTCCTAGTTTTTCCATACTGTTCAAAGTATTATGCTGGTAAAGTAGACAATACTTATTTGTTGGCATCTTAAATTTTTATTTTTAAGACAGTCTCATGTAAGAGTAGCCATTGGGTCTCTGATCCTCTTGCTACACCACACCAGGCGTATCCTAGGCACTTATATTCATTAAAGAACTCCATACTCTTCAATTATATTGGAAAAAAGAGTACCTGGCATCTTAACTAAAAATATTTTGATCTGGGTAGAGTCATACATGGTTATATTTCCAGTACTGGGAGGTGGAAGAAAGAGGATCTCAAGTATGAGGCTAGCCTGCACTATAATGACCTTGTGTAAAAAGCAGGTTATTTACTTTATATAACTGTAAGACCTGTGTTCAAATCATGTATAAAAACTCACCATGTAGCTCAATAACCAATTGGTTTCCCATAGTAAGGGGAACAGGGACTATCTCTGACAGGAACTCAATGGCAGGCTCTTTGACCTCCCCACCCCCCAAGGGAGGAGCAGTCCTGCTAGGCCACAGAGGAGGATTTTGCAGCCAGCCCTGAAGATACCTGATAAAACAGGGCCAGACGAAAGGGGAGGAGGTCCTCCCCAATCCGTGGACTTGGAAAGGGGCAGGGAGAAGCTGAGGGATGGAGGGAGGGTGGGATTGGGAGGGAATAAGGGAGCGAGATACAGCTGGGATACAGAGTTAATAAAATGTAACTAATAATAATAAACAATAAAAAAAACCTCACCATGATACTATAAATGTAACAGTAGTGATACTAATTAGTTAATAAGTTAATTCAACTGTCAACACTGATATTTTCCTGAATTATGTCTGTATCTAAGTTTTTTGGGGGTGGAGAAAAAGAACCTGGTGGACCTGGAGCTAGGCATGTAGACGAGGCTAGTGGTGGACTCACAAGAAGACTACCTGACTCCCAGTGCTGGGATTAAAGTTGTGTGCCACTATGACCGTGATGATTCTCTTTATTAAATATTCTGTAATTAAAAAATTAAGTACAATAGTGTCACTAAATCAACAAATATCTGTAGCAATACAGAGGCCGAAGCAGGATGCTCACTTGCCATCAGGAGTACGAGAGCTTGGGCAATTAGCAAGACCTAATCCAGGAATAAAAACAGGTGGGCGGTAGGGGTGCAGAGAACTCTCTGATTCTATTTAAAAACACATTTAACGCACACTGCACACTTGCATGAAAATGGCCTTATACAACACGGTGTAATTTAAAAATACATTTTTCTTTTAGAAAATGTACCCGCACATAGTTGTATGATAGATCTTCACACAGGGCTTAAATGCATATTTCTGTGCTTGGTTCCCTGCACACCAAGGGTCTTGTGCTATTTATTTAGCCTCAGTTCCTTAGTGTAAGTTAGGACTATAAGTGTTTGCTACCATGCCCACCTCAGCTGTGCCATTTCTTAAAAAAAAAAAAAAAAAAAAAAGCCTTAAAGGTAGCTAAAATAAATTCTAAAAATTCCAGATACCAAAATTTTCTTACTTTGCTTATCAAGAAATATTACAACCTCAACATACTTACAAGAACTTGGTGTTCTAATATTTGACATTACCAGAGTAAAAGCATTATATAAGAAGAGAGAAGAGAGAAAGTGGCATTTAAAAACAGAAAAGCTGGCAGGCAAGATGGCTCAGTGGGTGAGGTTGCTTGTTAGAGGTCTTCAATCTGAGTCTGAGTCCTAAAACCCGCACAGTGGAAGAAAAAGAGTATTGACTCAAGTTGCTCATTAACACTTTATTTTATATTTAGATGTACTTGTCCTGCCTCAGACTTCTGTGTGCTGTCATTCCAACAGTGCACATCTTGCCTGACAACACTGTTCAGTCTGTACAAATCTCTTCAGCTGGGAACAGAGTTTACTGCAGAGCTTCTTGCCTAGCATGGACAAGGTCCTAGGTGTAATTCCCAGAACACACACACACCTAGTATTTTAATAAAAAAATAATTTAAAGTTTCTTCTTGTGCCCAGAATGAACATCAGAGCAATAACAGAGAGCCTACCTAGAAAAGAATGACAATCTTTCATTCATCAATAAGTTTAGAAGCTTTTTTTTAAACCCTGACCTTAACTATCTAATATTTGCCACTGAATTTGATGATTGAAATTTATATCCATTAGTGTGCTAGAAAAACAAAGTGAGGAAAATTACCTTTTCAGGCTGTGTAAAGAATTTCATTGGGAGGACTGGGTCCTTTGGTGAGTCTGCATTGCACAAAGCACTCTTACTATTGATAACACACAGAGCCACGTCACAAACTGTATAAAGTTTCTAGAGAGTAAGAAAAAACAAAACATAACAAAAAACAGAACAATTAGATATCTTCCACAGTTGCATAATAAGTACAGTTCTATCAGATGTATAAATTCAAGTTGAAAAAAACATGTGGCCACTTGTTCCTTGAACAAGTTTCTGCTCAGTATTCTTTAGACTCCCTATAAAGACGTCGAACCAGAGTGTATCCGTTTTCTCTCTCTAGAAGGAGGTTTCTTCTACAAGACTGCTGTAGGTTTTATCAGTTTGTATTTTTCCAGTCTAAGCATTAATATCTTTTTAGATAGTTAGAAGTTTCCCCCCAAAAAACCAAAACAAAACAAAACAAATTTTGTGATTATAGGCATTAAAAATAAAGTCCAAATCTGGGCTGGAGAGAAGGTTCAGGAATTAACAGCATTCGTTGCTCCCATAAATAACATGAGTTTGGTTACCAACAACTACATGATAACTCACAACCAACCCTAACTCCAGTTCCAGGGGACCTGGTCTTTCTTCTGATCTCCATGGGCACCAGGCACACTGGTACACATTCATACATGTAAACCACTCATACACACTGAAATAATTTGAAGCAACTATAAATATATTTTAATAAACTAATTATCAAGAAAAAGAAGAGTCAGTTGGTGTAAACTCCTGTAACAACCATCACCTAGCACTCATCTTACCTCATTTGTTTTGGATTCATCTGGAGATTGGGCATCTCTGGTCAGCTTGATGTTCTCTGCCATCTTTTTCATAAATGCATGGCTGTTGTTTTCATTCTTGGTCATTAACACTTCAAGCATAAACCACAGGCACCTATGTGGAAAATATATTAAAGAGAATAAATTTTTATATTTTGCTTAATAGATTAAGCAGTTACTTAAAAGTTTGTCAGTAGAAAAAAATAGTATATAATTTTACTAATGTTACCAATTCAAGTGGATTTTTTTTGAGACAGGATTTCCTGCAACCCAAGCTTGCCTCCAACTCACTATGTAGCTTAGATAGCTTTGAACACATCTTCTCTCTCTCTATTTTATGACTGCTGAGTGTTGGGATTATAAGTATAAGCACCATGTCTGGCTCAAAAGAAAAATTAAGTTACAAAAACATTTAAAATAAAACAGCTTACTCTGAGATTGTCTGACAGTTTCACAAGGTACATAAAGAAAATAGAGGTTCTCAGTAAACATTTAGACTGTGATGTGTTTCAAACCACAGTGGAGAAGAACATATCAACATACTGCATACCACTGGCACTGTGCAAGCTATGCAGAAGGTCTGTTACTGGTATGTAACTTGTGATGAGATGTGTCAACTTTCATGTATTATGAGAATGTTATGTGTGATAACCAGCCATGTAGCAAAGTGGTCCCTTATAAAACCATACTTGCAACTGGTCAGTAGTGGCACACATCTTTAATCCCAGCACACGGGAGGCAGAGGCAGGTGGAATTCTGTGAGTTCAAGGCCACCTGGAGTACAAAGTGAGTCCAGGATAGCCACAGGTACACAGAGAAACCGTGTGTGTGTGTGTGTGTGTGTGTGTGTGTGTGTGTGTGTGTGTGAGAGAGAGAGAGAGAGAGAGAGACATCTAATAAAGCCCTAACCATTTTTGTTTTTTAGTATTAGAAGTTGAATCAAGGGCCTCACGCGCATTGGTCAAGCGTTCTGTTACTGAGCTATGCTACCCCCCTCAACTCCCTCTATTCTTTTTGAATTTTTTTTTTCATTTGAGAAACAAAAGGGTCCAGATATGCCTTGAACTTGTGATCTTCCTGTTTCAGTCTCAAGAAGCTGCTCGCATCATAGGCCTGTAGCTACAACCCGCCAAAGCTATTTTTTCTTTTCTTTTCACATAGGCTTCATTTCCAGTATTTCACATCTAGAAGCACTGTCACTGCAGCAGTGTTCACAAGTAACAGGTTAGTGTTTAAAGGGAACACCGAACAATATAAAGGGAACACCGAACAGTATAAAGCAACTCTTCTAATTTCTAAAAGTTTGATACCATTTAAGTAGCCAAAGTGATGAGACAGCGAAATGTTGAGTTCATTTTTGCAATAAAACTTACTGATTTGGTATAGAAAACTGTAATATTTTAAATGCAAACAAATGGTACTAATTTAAGAATGCAAAACAAAAACAGCAATGCAGGTTTGGAGAAATGGCCCAGTGGTTACGAGCAATGGCTGTTCTTCCTAAGGATCCAGGTTCCATTCCCAGCTTCCACATCAGCTCACAACCATGTAGTTCCAGGGAACCCAGGACCCTCTTTTAACATCCACAAGCACTAGGAACACACATGGTAAACAAATATACAGGTAGGCAAAACACTCAAACATACAAAAATAAGTAAACACACATGCATGCACGCCAATCAAGTATGTATTGCTTCAAAGTATCTTAGAGTTCCATATGTACAATTCTCAGCCTCCTTTAATCCATTCATCCTATAATATATGAAACTGTATTTTATAAATAATACTTCAATCAAGTGTTTTGCAATTATGTATAGACTTGCCTCAGAGCACTTCATATAAGGCACAAAGTTCTTGAGGTTTTTTTTCTTTTGTTTTTAAATTTGAGTTTTTATTTATATCTACTTAGAAATGAAAAGTTGAATAAGGAACACATTTTTAGTTAATTTATTTTTTATTGATTACAGTTTATTCACTTTGTATCCCAGCTATGCCTCCTCCCTCATCCCCTCCCAATCCCATCCTCTCTTCCATGCCCCTCCCCAAATCCATTGATAAGGGAGGTCCTCCTCCCCTTCCATCTGTCTCTAGCCTATCAGGTCTCATCAGGATTGGCTGCACTGTCTTTCTTGGTGGCCTGGTAAGGCTGCTCCTCCCCCAGGGGGAGGTGATCAAAGAACCAGCTACTAAGTTTATGTCAGAGACAGTCCCTATTCCCATTTTCTAGGGAACCCACTTGGATACTGAGCTGCCATGGGCTACATCTGTGCAGGGGTTCTAGGTTATCTTGATGCATGGTCCTTGTTTGGAGTATCAGTCTCAGAAAAGACCCCTTTGCCCAAATTTTTTGGTTCTGTTGCTCTCCTTGTGGAGCTCCTATCCCCTCCATGGCTTTCATCTCCCCTTTCTTTCATAAGATTCCCTGCACTTTGCCCAAAGTTTGGCTATGAGTTTCAGCCTCTGCTTTGATACCTTGCTGGGTAGAGTCTTTCAGAGGACCTCTGTGGTAGGCTCCTGTCCTGTTCCCTGTTTTCTCCTCCTTACTATGTCCTCCCCATTTGTCTTTCTGAGTGAGGACTGATCATCTTACCAAGGGTCCTCCTTCTTGCTTAGCTTCTTTAGGTGTACAGATTTTAGTATGTTTATCCTATATTATATTTCTAATATCCACTTATAAGTGAAGTGAGTATATACCATGTGTTTCTTTCTGCTTCTGAGATACCTCACTCAAGATGATCTTTTCTAGTTTCCACCATTTGCCAGCAAATTTCATTCTTTTTAAGATTATCCTCTCTTCAACTCCTCCTAAGTACTTAGTACTCCTTGTTCTCTTTCAAATTTATTGCCTCTTTTTGGAGATAATTATGTTTTTTATCGTGAATGTAAAAAGATTACTTGTTCTACCCCCTTAGATTTTTGAGTTAGGGTCTCAAGTCATCCAGCCTAGCTTGAATCTGCTAAGGAAGTGAAGACTTCCTGGAACTTCTGACCCTTCTGTCTCTACTTTCAAGTGGTAGGATCACAGGTCTATGCTACCATGCTTGGTTTATGTGGGGATGGGCTCTATCAAAGCTTCATGCATACTAGGCAATATATTCTACCAACTGAGCCATAACCACAGTCCTAAGATACTTTTAAGGAAAGTTGTGGGTCTATGTGTGTATGCATGGACATGTGTGTGTGGACACATGCTGTTAGGAACTACCACAATCCAAGAAAAATGTTATAGAAATAAGTTAAAAAATTCCTAGGCCATGAGGAGATATTTTCATCACATACACTTATAAGTTACCAAACTGAAGACCATTGTAATATAAAGCAAATAACATAATATAAAACCCAAATAAATTATTAATCTATTTCAAGACAGAAAGTTAAGTATCTAGAAATAGAAATCAAATAAAAGGGTAGGAAAGGGATGGTTAAGTGGGAATAGTCCTGAAAAAATTTTTTTAAACTTACAACAATAGTAAATTAGGAAAATTCAGAATTATAATAAAAATTCCAATGAGAATAATAACTAAAAAAAAATTATGAACACAATTTGTAGAACTCCTGATACACGACTTACTCTTTAATATCACGAAGTTGATCAACATCTTGTGATCTTGTAAAATCAGGATCATGGGCCAGCAGGTGAATCATGTATGGAACCACATACTCAGGCAGCAATGATAATAATTTCTCTAAAATGAAAACATCATGGTTAGCAAGAATAGCTTTTATAAATGCCATCTGCGTTTGAGTTCTAATCATTTGCTTCTATTTTCCTCTCAGTTATTTACAAACAGAAGGGAACATGTGTTCAGATGACACTGTAATGCTTTTACTTCTATCCTAAAAGAAATCAAATCCAAAGGACAAACAAATTATACAGCAGATGACTGGAAAAGTTAGAAAAAAGTATAAACTCTAACATCTGAGCAATGTGTGCAAATTAAACCACATTGATGATTGCATAAGAATTAAGCTAAATAAATATGACTTCAATACAAGATTTCAGTTTCTACACATACTGCAACTATAATGATAGCACTCTATAAAATTAACACTTTTAGTACAAACTATGGTGAAAACATGGTTCCCTTCTCTGACATACATACCAGTAGCTATAGGGTTCTGTTTAATGTATTCCCTTCGTATGCTGATGTTCTTTAGTAAACACTGGCGTGCATGTGCTCTTCTTTCTTTCACAGGGTCTTTGGCACACAAAGCAAAGATTGCCATATACTCCAACGGGAGCAGTAATTTCACAAGTGCTTTATGAAGCTTCTGAGCAAATATCTGCCTGACTTGGTAGCACTCATCCTATATCAGTAGAAAAACAAAGATACACAAGATGGGTAAACATTTACACACACACACATACACATACACACACACAAGCACTTTAAAAGTATTTTGTCTTTGTTAAAAAATTAAAATGATTGGTTATATTGAAGCAATGGACATAACAATCTCTTCTGTGTATATATCCATACAGCAAATGCATCTGTATTCAAAGAAAAGTACATGCATTCAAATTGAAGACAAAAATTTGAAGTAAGTTTTCCACTTACATTAATAACAAGCGCACAGAGCTGAAACTGTTCTGGGGTAATAATTTCATGGTAACAAGGTTCCTGAGCAAGCTTCATTATGGCACTACCAGCAGCTAATCGCAAGCGAGACATATCAGATTTACTATAAATAAACAAAAAGAAATAAACATTTCCTATAACCATTATTAATTGCTTTTTTGAGTGAGATTGGTAGTAGGTTACTAAATGTGCAAATAAAGGCAGTTACTTTGTGTTTATAAACTCAACCCAGGAGAAAAAGGCTCAAGTTACTGTGGCTTCTAGCCATGCTCTACTTCCAACTTTTCACCCAACCAAGTGATTCTTCTTATTTTACCTATCAAACTACTTGGAGTGCTAAGAAAAGCCAGTTTCATTACAATCTGTATCCCTTATGTAAAGAATACATATTCATTGTGAAACTTGATTTAAACAAACCAATCATTATTTTAAATTCACTTGCTACATCACATATATTTATACATATAATTAAGATTCTACATTAATTCCACACATAAATGGAAGTGAAACAATTATAAAGGATGAACCAAATACAGGAAAGGATATAGAGATTAGAATATGTTTATATGTATATTTTGTGTGATTATTTCATTAAAAGGGCAGATATAAAATGTTTCACAGTCCTACAAGGATGGAACAACCAACTCATAATGAGAATAAGAACAGAACTCATTTTCTTAATTCCCAGTGAGCAAAAATTCCTTAATTTTCAATTTGGTAGGGAAAAATTATTAATTGGGTCTAGAGCATGTAAGTATAGATGACTTAGTTTAGAAGTACAAAGAATTAAACATTTTTTTCCAGGTCACCTGGTAATATTCAGCTATCAATTACATTGTGGATTGTGGGTATGTATCACCAAGTTGTAAGATCTCATACAAGGAACTTCAGTACGCTATAAAGGTAACCCAGATATGAAGTTTTCACTATTGGCAACCCAGCTCTACTCATTCTGTTGATATAAAACTCCTGTTAGTTTACTCACCATAAAAAAGTTGGGTTTTATTTATTTTTGTATATTGCTTCAATTTATTAAAGCGTTAAGTATAATGAACTATAATTGCCTATATAGTTTTTCAAGCAGGTCTTACATTTTTTAGAAGAAATAATTAATGTTATCTTTAAGTAACACAGCAGGACCTAGTATCTAACAATGTTCAGTAAATATTTGAATGCATAAAAGAAAAAAAAAAACAAAAAAACAAACGTGTCCTCTCACACAAATTTAAGTAGAAATCATGAGTTATCACAGTGTTGGTGCTCTTGATGGCAAGCATTTAAAAGAAACAAGGGAATTCACAATTTCTTCATATGAGGAACAAAAAGGAGACAGTAATTTCACTACATTGAAGAGTGGGAATGAATTTATCCATTTTTTTCTTTTTGCATATATAAACTTTTCTTGAAATCACCAGAAGGCTTTTACTCTCCCTTTTTTGAGCCACCACTGTAAGTCATTCCACTTGTTCAATCATACTATATGGTTACCTGTCTTTCCTACACTTCTCATAATGTTACAAAGTACAAATTTCACAAACAATTGTTCGATTATCCACCAAATATGGATGTTTAGTAACTCTGAGCTTATTATAACTAAAAATTTATTAGCAGAAGTTCACAGTTTTTCAGAAATGATAAAAACATACATTCTTCAATGCATTCAAGAGAGGTCAATCCAAAGCTTCAGTGCAATTACAATACTTAATATCAGTCAGGGAAAGAACTCTATGACACGTTTACCCAGTATAGGGGACAAAGAAATTAGAAAGAAGAAAGCTCACCTGATCCTCTTCTGCTCTGTCAGGTCACCCTCACTAACCAACATTGCTGATAATAACCGAAGAGTTGAGTTGGCAGATTTAGATTGGTTGTTTTTCATACCCAACAGCCACCTTACCAGAAGTTTAATTGCCTGTACCTATAAAATATTAACATGCTAAAAAAGAAAGCAACTTAACATAACAATTAAAGGGAAGATTATTTTAAACTAAATTAATGACATTACTTACCATAATCAGTGGATACTTATTACCCAAAGCAATGGGATAAGAAGAATAACAATAAGGATACTACTCTGTTCAATCTATACTATGCACTTTCCCCAGCTGTACATGCTTTTATACCAACAGAAAGGACAAATGACACATTTACTCTGGCTCATAACTCATTCAAGTCTGGCTCCCCAGGTTTTTAACACTATTTATCTAAGCTTTTTAAATTACTTTAAAAATATAATTTAAAAATAAATATTTAAAACTGGTTACTAGCGATTAGGCAGGCGGGAGAAGGTGGATGCTAATTGGTACAACAATGTACTTGTATAGATGTAGTAACTATTTATTCATTTCTTGTTTTGTTTGCTTGTTTTTTTAAACTCAGGATTCTCTACAAAGCCCTGGCTTTCCAGAAACTCACTATGTAGACCAGGCTGGCCAAACTCAGAGCTCCACCTGCCTGTGCCTCCTGAAAGCTGTGATTAAAGATACCCGCCATCAGACAAGCCGAAATATTAACTTTAAATATAATCACAAATAATTATGTTTAACAATGATAATTGGACATTTTAATGTACCTAGTAGAGGGCTATAGACATTCTCAATACAAAGAAATGATGTGCTAACTATCCTGATATAACCATTATATATTATGATGTAACTCCATAAAAAGTAGACTAAAAATTAAAAAATCTTCAAAAAATTAAAAACATCCACTATGCTGATTAAAATGATTATTTAGAAGATTTCATACTATTGTATTATCAGAAAATCTTTGAATAAGTCAAGTTTGGTTTATCTTAAACATCTTGACTAAAATGTTGGAGTTTACATAATTATTTGTAGTATTAATTATCTGAAAGATTATTACCAATATATATAAAGAGCCAGCTAAAGATCTAAGTATTATTTTGTATATTTACTGACAATGTAACAAAAATCAGACAAAAATATTTGACTAAAAAACCAATACTGGCTCATATATAAAGGGCAGAAGTGTATTCAGTTTTGGAACACTGGCCCAGCATAGGATAGTGTTATACTCATTAGAACACTGACCCACATAGGATAAGGGTATGCTCAGTGTTGGAACAGTGACCCAGCACAGACTAAGGTATACTCAATGTTGGAACACTAACCCACATAGGATAGGGGTGTACTCAGTGGTGGAACTCTGACTCAGCATAGGACATGGGCATACTCAGTGGTGAAGCACTGACCCAGTATGTATTGTTAAATCCCCAGCACCAATTCAAACCTCCAAACCTCCAAACCTCCAAACAAACAAAAAAAAAATCAACAAACAATAGCAACTACAATTTTTTAAGAAGTGTTCTTTTACAATGACTTTTAAAATTAAGCACCTTGAGGCTGGAGATAGGGCTCAGGAGTTCTGAGCACTACCTTAATCTTCCTAGGACCCAAGTTTATTCCCACCCACATAGGCTAAGTTAAAACCACCTGTAACTCTAGCTTTAGAGGGATCCGACTACCTTTGATCTTGAGAGAACCTGTACTCATACGTACACATGCTTTCATGTGCACGCATGCATACATGAGCACACACACACTTAGCCCTTAATAAATCAATAAAGCAGCCCACTAGACAATGCTTGCTAACTATTATATTAAAAGGCTCAGGATACCCATAAGCATTCCTTTTTTTCAACATAAAGGTAATTAAAGACCTATCTGAATTTACCTTTGCTAGTACTTCAGGAGAAACCTCCTCATCTGGAGACCATAATTTTCCATTCTTCTCACCTGTTGACTATAGACAATTGATGAAATTTAGTTTTTGATACTGAGTAATACACAGTGTGAAAATATATAGGTAAAAAAAACCTTAGAACCAAAAAACAAATTTGGAAAAGTCACTTTCTAATTTTAAAATATACTATAGACTTATAGTAACCAACACCATGAAACAAGACTAGAGATATAGAACAATGGAACAGAAGAGGAAAATAACCCTTCTTATTAAAAAGCCCTTTTATTATATGGGTCAATTCATTTTGACAAGGGCAGAAATATTATGTTTGGGGGAAAGAACAGTTTTTCAACAAGTGGTGCTGAGAAAACTGGGTGCCAACAAATTAACAATGACACTAGACTGTCATACCGTCTACAAACATTACCTAAAAAGGAAAACAATACGAAGCTAAAACTATAAACTTTCAGCAGACAACACAGTAAGAAATCTTTGTTACCTTGCATTTAGCAAATACCCAGTGTTTAATATCCAGAATGCATAAATAAACTCTGTTGTTACAGTGTTGAATGCCTTTAACCCCAAAATTTGGGAGGGAGGCCAGCCTGTTATATATAGAGAGTTTGAGCCCAACTTGGCTACATAATTTTGGAACCAACAAAACTTACACCTCAAAAATATCAAAGTACTATAGGACCTGACCATACCACTCTCCAAGACACAAAAATACCAAATAAGAACATAGAAATGATTCTAAATACCCTTAAAAAAAGAGAAAACCACAGCCATAATAAAATACCACTTTATTATATTTATTCTCTCATAAAGATGTGGAGAAACTGGAACCTTCACACTTAATTGGTAAAAAGGTCAAAAGGGGACAGAGGGTATGGTAACCAGTTTGGTGGAATCCAAAAATGTTCAATAATAATCACACGACTCAGAAATCTTATGCTCAGTACACATTAGCATTAATTACAATTGTATAAGGTAGGAACAATCCAAACTGTTAGTTAACAGACAAAATGTGGAATATGCAAGTAAGTATTTTTAAGCAGGAAAAAAATATATAAAATTTTGATCAATAATATAATAAAAAGAATCTTGGAAACACACCAAAATAAAATAAGCTAGATTATAAAAGACCAAGTTTTATTGGACAATAAGATATCTAGAATAAATCCATAGTCAGTGGTTTTGAGGGGCTATGTTTAGGAAATTTGAGTACATTGCTTAATAGATAAAAGAATGTTTCTATTTGGGAATATATCTATCTTGAGTGCCAGACAAAACACCTTGGGAGAAAAAGAATAGCTGCCAAACCTAACAAGTTGAGTTCAAGCTCCAGGACCCACGTGGTGGAAAAATGACTGACTTCATCAGATGCCCTCTGACCCTCACCAGTAAACTGTGATTCACTCCCTTGACTAAATAAATAAATGTAATAAAAACTTTTAAAAAGATCAGGTATAGTAGTACATACCTTTAATATAGCACTCAGGAGGAAGAGGTAGGCAGATCTCTGTAAGGTTAAGGCCAGACTGATCTACACAGTGAGTTCCAGATCAGCCATGCCTATAAACAACAAAGCCTTGCCTCAACAACAACAAATCTCTTACTTTAATCTTAGCATGTGGGAGGCAGAGGTGGTCACTACTAAGTTAGAGGCCAGCCTGTCTTGAAAAACAAAATGGAAAAAAAAAAGCCAAGGAGCAGGATGAAGAATGGAAGTGACAAAGCAACAATGATGGAAACATGAGTTAAGTTTTATGTCAAATATTTATCAAGCCATGTGTGGTAGCTTAGGTCCTATCCTGAACAAGAACACAAACCACACTTAATATGGTGGATCACTTTGAATGATTTGTTGTTAATTAACCCCCAATTTCTCTAATTTCATGAGAAGTTGGAGAGCTCAATGTTACACTAAAGACATTTCTAAATGTGCCTTGGTGCTTGTACCCTCTCTAATTCTAGATTATTAGATCCTTAAAAATACAATGTAGATGCTACAAAGATGGGTCCGTGGTTAAGAACAATTGCTGCTCTTGTAGACAAACTAGGTGCTATTCTCAGCATTTACACTGAATTTTTCTAGTCTGCAAGGCATTACATACACATGGTACACAGACGTACATACAACCAAAACATCCATACACCATATACGTTAAAAAAAACCTACAAATTTAAATTGACAGTTATATCAGTAACTTGTACATAATGAGTTAGATCCTATTAGGTATACTAGTCACCTCAGATCTAACGTGAAACTCAACAAACACTCCCCCTAGATATTGAAAAAAAGTTATTTCTATGATAAAAATAAAGACAGTCTTAAACTCAAGACTCTAAATTTAATTAAATTAGATACTTACCCTGTCATTCATTAGAAGGTCTTTAACAATAAAGTTTGCCACTACAGATTTCATTGGGGAAGCAAACTGATCTGGTGCTAACATGGAAATGTGGCCCAGTGAAACTAATGGTGTTATAAGTTGTTCTGGTACATCAGCATTCAGACTCCTACTAAGCGGCTATGGAAATAAAACAAAAAATTACTCATTGGTGTTACAAGGATTTAGATATTCTACAGCCCTCATAATTTTACCATGTCCAAGTCAATCTGTTTTACTGATATGATCATAATTAATTTTAACCATCTTAGACATTAGGTTATTTCACCTACTGAAATAGGTGGCGATTCAAATGAGAATGGCCCCCACTGGTTCGCATGTTTGACCAGTCCCCAGTTACTGGAGCTGCTTGGGAAGATTAGAAGGTATAGCCCTACTGGAAGATGCAAGTCAATGGGAATGGGCTTTGAGGTTTCAAAAGCCCACATCAAGCCGTGTTTCTCTGCTACTTTTGTCTGCCAGCTGCCATGTTCCCCACCATGACCCTCTAAAACTGTAGTGCTCAATTAAATGCTTTCTTTTGTAAGTTGCTTTTTTCATGGTGTCTAATCACAGTTTTGAGAGTAGATAAAACAGTAATAAAATTGAAAAAATACAGAAAAAAGATAAAGCCTAAGTAAAAGTATTATTCTCCATCCCTCTTCATCTAATTTTATGTTGGTGGATTTTTTTATGCTAAGACAGTTTAAACAACCTTGAATTATAAAAAGTAAGAGTCTGTGGAGTCATATCTCCAATTTATAACAATAGGAATGGCATTTAGGAAACAGTCTCTCCAAGGACCATACACAGAGAACTGACAAGAGGTGTAGCGTTCAGGTATTGTTGTACGTACTTAAAGCAAAGGCAGTTCAGACATCCATTAAGAGTCTATGAGGATAAGCCAGAGCAGACAAGACTAAAGATAAGGAGAATGTTCTCACATATAAAACATCTGTCTGTATGAAATGTGTGTACCTGGACTAACAGCTGAAAATATAGTGCTGAGCAGATAAGTACTGAACAAAGTTACACTTTAAGAATATAAAAAGCCTTAAAAACCTAGATTCTCGCTTTGCCAAACAAGAAACTGACACAAACAAATGGAAGCATATTTTATTATTATGTATACCTCAAAAATCTGTGCAAGCTGGACCTCCTTATTTGAGAAGATGGCATGGATACAGTGCACAGCCTGTTTTGCTTGGTGTGGAGTACCCCTCTTTGCTTTTTGATGTAAAATGGGAATTAAGGTTCTGTAAAAAATAGTAACACAGTTGTATTTTCTGAAGCATACAAATCCCTAAGCTTCTTCTTATTCCTCATTTCCCCTATGTGGTCAGATGTGTGCCAGCAGAAAAGCTTTGTTAGAAATTATTTGACTGGAACCAGGCGTGGTGGTGTACAGCATTAATCCCAGCACTTGGGAGGCAGAGACAGGTGATCTCCCGTTAGTTCAAGGCTGGCCTGGTCTACTAAGCGAGTACAGCACAGCCGAGGCTTACACATACACTCCAGTATTTATTTGGAGGTGGGGTGTATATGTGAATCTGAAAATAAAAGTTGTTTTCTGTTACACAGAAAAACCCTGTCTTGAAAAATCTAAAGAAAGAAATAAATTAAATAAAAATACTTAACTGATAGAAAGATTTAAAGTTCCTTCTTTGTCTCGAGACATAAAATAGCAACAATTTCATTTTAAAGCTAATTCATGAATCTAAAAGAGTAACAAACTGGCCACTCTTAATTGATAATCAACAACTTGCTCTAGGATATATATTCACATTTTACTTCTAAATAGACATTTTTAATTTTCCAGTTTCCCTTTTATAATTCTCTTCAGTTATTCCAACGTAGCCAAAGGAAAAAAGTCACAAAAGGCCAAGTTTTATTAAACTGCTGAAATGATACCAGCGAAAGTGAATAAACAGATATATTTATACAGTTTGGTAAAATGAAACTAAAGGTTTCTAATAATCACTCAGTACATGTGTAGCTACCATTTGAGGTATTTTTAACATGGATTAATTCAACTAATGAATATTAACACCTGAAAAGAAGTATTACAGCACAGCAAAGGTAAGAAAGCTGAAACATAAGAATGTACTGAAACTGCTAAAGGTTACACAAATAAGAAAAGGTGAAGCTGGATTTTGAAGGTAAAAATTTTTAAAGAAAGGGCCAATGCATTTAATCAATACACTAACATGAAAGATAGAAGTATTTCTATAGAACCATATGAAAACAAATATAAGAAAGCAGTAAGTGTTGACCATATAGCAAAATATGTATATGAAGAAAATATGTTCATATGAGCCCACAAAATATGCACATATGAAGGAAAAGCATCCATAAAACATTAGTAACAACTCTCTTCCTTTTCTTTTCCTAGGCTCACCCATATACCCAACCTCAAAATGCTGGAGTGTGTGGGTGAGCCTAGGAAATGCTGTGGACTCACGGGCCTTAGGCATACTGTATAAAGACTACCATGAAGCCAAATACTCAGCCTTAGTTTAAGCTTTTAATGATAAACATATACTTTAATAATCAGATAATTACAGCAACAAAACTCTATAGCAAATGCTATATTTTCAATACAAATAGAAAAGGTCCTATTTTATAAGCCAAAAGTTGATGTCATCAAATGCAAAAGCCTGTAATAAAACACTTTTTTAAAAGTCTAAGAATAGCTAGAATTTAATAGCAATATTCAAGACCACAAGCATACACTAATACCTTTCTCCAGGAAGAGCTGAACTGTGGGAAAGGGATTTCTATGTCTAACTATCCTTGCTAGTTTGAGCACCATGTGGTCTTTTGTTCTTAAGCTCACTACTATTAATACTAGTGAATAACTAAAGAAAATACACTTAAATATACTTTATTCTCATCATCGTCACTATCTCTTACCAAACAACTAGTAAATATTTTATGATGAACAGTATTTAATTGCTTTGTTTGTCTTTGTTGGGACAGGAAGGTGGTAGCTACTGAATTTATAACCAAATTGCAAGAAAAAAATTCATAGGCTACATGGACATATTAATCATAAATATTTAATTATATTTATAGGCCTGTAATGGCATGTACACTTGTGTGTAGATGCCTGTGAAGGCCAGGTCTCAAATCCCCCAGAGCTAGAATTACGGCTTCTGGGAACAAAACCTGGGTCTTCTGCCAAGTTTGGTTCCCTGCAAAAGCAGGGCATTGTGCACTCTTAGCTGCTGAGCCACATCACCAGACCCAAAAGATAAGTTTTGATCAAGCTGTAGGTATATGTAATATTAACTTTTTAAGCAATGCTGAAATGATTCAAAAAATAAAGTAACATTTCTCTGTTTTTGTCTAGTGTGCTATAATCCAAAGGCACTATTTGCGTTGTTATTAAAGTCTTCGGTGTGTTTTTGCTTTTCTGTGATTGTTTCTTTTATCCTCCACTATTCTAAGAACAAAAGGTTTTCTTCTTTGATTCTAAAGTTAACTATTTCACCTATATCTATTTTTCTAGTGCTTTTGATACAGCATTCTTTTAAAAATAGGACTCTTGCCTTAAAATATATCTAAGCTTGGAAGAAGATGGCATAAACTTTATCCTACTGCGTTAATGACCTTTTTTCCTTTTCCGTACACAAGGGTTTGAACCAAACAAGTATTCTCTCACTGAGCTATATCCTTATCCCTTAACCCCCATCCCTGCAGCTCCCTGTTAAAAAAAAAAATTTTTTTTTGAGAGCTGGACAGTGGTGATGAACACCTATAATCCCAGCACTCAGGAGGCAGAGGCAGGTGGATCTCTGAGTTTGAGGCTAGCCTGGTACAGAATGAGTTCCAGGACAACCGAGGCTACACAGAAACACTGTCTTGAAACACTGTCACCCCTGCCCCCCAAGAGAGAGGGACAATGTCTTCTTGCCTAGAGTTGTAACCTACGCCACCAAGCCTGGGCCAGATAATCTTTTTGATTGTATGTACAGATATATAAACAATTTAATTTTTAGTCCACAGCTCTTTGAAGACAGACTATGTAATCCTTTTGTACCACATAAAGTTTAACGGAACCTCCAGGAGTCCATTTGTTCTATTATTATTGCATTATGAAACAAATCTTGCTTGTATTTGCCATGAACTATTTACACATACAATGAACATCTGATCCAACAGACAATATCAATGCGTTCTTCCATGTATCCCACCATTTCCACAAGGGTAATATCAAAATTTCAAATGAAAATATAAAATGTACTTTAATTTTATGATATTGTCACCATTATCATTACAAAGCAACTAATAAATATTTACGATGAGCACTATCTAATTGCCCTATTTTTCTTGGAACAGGAAGGTGATAGCTATTGAGTTTATAGTCTATTTGAAAGAAAAAAATACATAAATTAGAAAGATAGACTAATTCTGTGTAACTATTGATTTCCAAAACTTTCAATCAGTTTTACAGTTTCAGTTTTGTTCCTTTACATTTACCCTAATTGTGGTAGGGTTAGAGAAGGAACAGAGAGACTAATGGAGACATAAAAGTAGCATGAAAGTAAAAGTTTTCTTTCTGCTTCCATCTTCTTCCATGAAAGAGAAATCATGATTCTATCACTCCCACATATGGAAACTTTTGGATTTACCATGTAAAAAAAATATACTCACGATCGTATCTGGGGAAGGTCTGTTTCTATTTTGTGGCCTGTGTTTCTAAAAATTTGTATTGCAGCTTCTGCTACCTTGTCATCCTCCATTCTTAGGCACTGTAACAAGGACTCATATGTCTCTGCAGAGTGGAACGAGGTAGGATGTGTGAAAGACAGAACCTGGAGGAACAGATACACCTTTAGAAATATAGACAACAGTTCTAATGTATTAAAAACAAGATTTCTTCAACAACAATAACAAAAAAAGTAAAGTTCTGGGCACATATGCTAGCTACACACATGGACTATAGATAACGTATGTTAGCCACCATTGCAATTACTTTTTCTCATGAGACATTAACAGGACTACTGTGTGGTAGCTTCCAGTCACTTCTCCAAGACAGTTGATATGCCACCTTTGCCCTAATCATTTCACACCTCTTAGTGTATGTTATTACTTAGAGTAAAGAACATCTTTTCAAAAATTAGTCATTTATTTTAATTTTTTGTGCACTGGTGTTGCCTGCGTTATGTCTGTAATGGTGTAGGAGGATCCTTTGAAGCTGGAGTTACAGGTAGTGGTAAGCTGCCATGTGGATGCTGGGAAATCAATGTGGGTCCTCTGGAAAAGCAGCCTAACTGCTGAGCCATCTCTCCAGCACCACCTTTAAAAAATCATGTCAGTGTATGCGCATGTGTGTGTAGGTACATGTGTGCACTCATGCCTGTGAAGGACCAAGCACAACTTTGGTTGTCATCTTCAGGAACAGAGTTCAGTTCAAAATAGGACTTCTTATAGCTTTGGAACTCACTAACTAAGGTAGTGAGACTCTGTGATCCTCCCCTGTCTAGGTTCCTGGCACTGGAATTACAAGCATGCTATCAAGCCAGGTATTTTTATTTGGGTAGTGGGGATCAAACTCAGGTGCTCATATTTCCAAGCCGACTGAAATAGCACATTTCTTATTGAGAGTGATCTTACAATAACAATAACTACTCTCGGTTTATACATGTGTTTAAGTATGAGGATTTTTGTTTGAAATAAAAGTTTCAGGTTTATTGATTCAACTTTTATATGATGTAAACAAAAAAATACAGATTTGGCTATCAAAACGATACCCTATGTAGGAATGTCAAGTGAATCCATCACAGAAAGTGCATATATCATAACCACCAACAATGAAGACATCACTGTGAATTTTAAATGATGAACATATAATTGTTAGCTTGTTTTGGACATGAGTCCTACCCAGTCTAGCATTACAAAACTTATACCAGCTTATATAAGAAATCGCTACAAATTCTGTGTTTATAATGTGGGCTAGCCTCTATCAGATATAAAAGCCAAGGAAAGAGGTAAAAACTGAATATTCCATCTTCGTGTTCTTAAAAAGTAAACTGCTTATATCATAAAGCACAGAAATGGGCTCAGTGAGGTTTTTTTTTTTATTTACAAAAAAACCCCAGAGAACTCTATTTTTAAAATGAACAAAAAGTAGTAGATTAAAACCATTTACCTCTGGGCTGGCTATGTAGCCTAGAGGTTGAACACCTGCTTATACGTCTAGGGCCCTGGGTTTGATCCCTGACACCCCCAACATTCTCACTTACACCAGGTTTGTCTCTTCTTCAGTTTGTCTTGCTGTGACATCAATGTATTTTTGCCACTCTTTTTACTCGATTCAATGAGAGCTATATCCAATATTGTGGTTGGACAAAGGCACACTTAAAAGCCCCTACAACAATGTCCTGCTCCCATGTCAATCTGTTACTTGTAACCGATTATCCCTTTCCCTACTCCTGAAAGCAACCCCTCCCTGAAGTCATATGGCAAAGTCTTGACTTACATCTTGCTCTTTTTATAAGTAATTTTAATTATTTTGCATTTATTAAGATCATGAATAGCTTTAAAATGTCCCAATCATACAGACAATGTTATAAAACAACTTCAGTTGTCAGTCAACTGCCTCAGATACAACTGCCTCAGCTTCTTTTAAAGATAAGACTGGATTATCTAGCATACATAGTCAAAAGTATAGCAGAATACAAATGGTGATCAGAAATAGAATTTATTTAAAAAAATGCAACTGTATAACAAAATAGTTAGATTGTGATACAAAAATTGTTTTTTATAAGTTCTTATTTCTAGCCATGCATGGTACCAGACATCTGTAATCATAGTACTTGGCAGACAGAGAGGCAGGATTAGAGTTCCATGCCAGTCTGTACTATAGAATGAGACTCTGTTTAAAAACAAAACAAAACAAAAAAAAAACAAAAAAAAAAAAACAAAAGAAAAACCCCACAACACTAAAAAGATGTAATTCCTACCAGAAAAATGTAATCTTTTGACTAAAGTAAGATAAACCTGCTTATGCACACCACAAAGAGATGCCTTTATATCTTCAGAAATAAATGAAGATGAAATTGTTTTTAAAAATACCTTAAGAAGTTCAAGTCCTGAGCGAATTGCTGCATCTGGACTTACACCCTCCTCTTCATCATCTGCTGTCCCTTCTATTGATTTATTCATCAGTTTTACTAGTGCACTATTAACAGAAAAAAAAAGTAAGTTAAACACTGCTTAGACTAGTAACTGTAATCCCAACTAAAATATGATAAACAGTCTAAAAAAAACATGGCCAAAGAAAATCTGTGTAGTAAGAGGATCAGTGTTTACTACTCGACAGGAAAGCTTACTTTTTATGTTACTCTCCCCTAAAACTTAATGTGTAATACTAACAACAATCTGACTGAAAAATAAGCACTGTAATATTAATATTAGCTATTTCAATGTCCACATATAAAGAGACTAATGTACTTTAATACAAACAATATAAGACTAGTTGATAATTGGGGAAACGGCCATCCAGAACAAAATTCAGTTAGCAGGGGCAGGCAAGTTAGCTCAGTGGGCAAAGGTGCCTGCTGCCAAGCTTTATGCACTGAGTTTGATCCCTGGAACCTATATAATGGAAGACAAGGCTTTCTGAAAGTTGTTCACTGACCTCCAAATATGTGCCACATGTACGTGTGCAAACACACAATGAATACATGGAATTCAAAGACCCAGAGGTAAACATATACAGGGAAAGTAGTATTAATTGTATTAGCAATTTAATTCTAAGAAATTATTAACAGAGAAGCAATTAACCAGAAACAAGCTTTATGAAACATGAAACATTATATATTTATAAACAGATGCAATTAGAAACTTGTGTAACTTAAGAAAGTTATCTTTTCAACATATTTACCACCATAAAAAGGAACATTACCTGATCAATAAATATCAAATTATCTTATCTAACAGAATAGACCTATTTTTTTGTTTCTGAGACAAGATCTCACATGTATCCCAGACTGAACCTCTTGGTTCTTCTTGACTCAATCCTTGAGCGATAGGATTGGACAGGACTAGGATTACAGGAATCTACTTAACTAAACTGGTAGCATTTAAAATAAAAACAAATATGAGACTGGGAATGTAGTTCTCAAGTAGAACTGCCCAGTTTGTCACGCTCTGGGTTTGATCCTCTGTGCCAAAAGTGGGTGTGGCAGAGGATGCCTGTAAGTTTGGCATAAGAGAAGTTAAAGTGGGACGGTCATGAGTTCAAGGCCTGACTACCAAGTCAGCTAGGGTTATATAGCAAGATGCAGTCTTAAAAAACAGGGAAGGTGTGTGTTGGGGGGGGTGAGAGACAGGGTGAGACAAATTCTTTTCATTTGATGTCATGATTTCTTCAATCAAATTAGTATGATTTGTTTTAAAAGACAGGATCTTTGCATATTGCCCAGACTCTCCTTTAACTCAAGTCTTAGAAGCTGGGCTTAACATATGCCACTTGTGGCAATCAAGAAATTTTTGTTGTTGCTGAGACAGAATCTCACCAGCTGGCCTTAAATTCAATGTATAGCAGAGGGATAACTTTGTCTCTATATGCTAAGAGCCAGAATCATAAGCAATGTTACTATTTCTAGCTCTAATAAAGATTAAAAAAAAAAAAACCCACAAAGAACGAACCTGAATTATGTGGTAGACAAGTGCAATATTAGCACTTGGGGAGCTGACCGAAGAAAATCCAAATTCAAAAAGCCAGAATGTACTACATAAAAAAATGAAATCATGAGGGTTTGGAAGGATGGCTCAAGTGAGATCACAAATGATATGTAGAAGAGCAAGGTTTGATGTGCAGCACCTTGATCAGGTGGCTCAAGACCGCCTACAACTAACACTAACTCAAAGGATCTGACATCCTCTTCTGGCTGCATAGGGCACTATTCAACTGCACAAATCCAACACAGACACACAATTAAAATTAAACAAAATCTTTTATTATTTAAAAGGCTTCCATTAAAAAAAAGGTCAAGTTTCTTCAAGCCTACTCACTTGCCATAACTCACTTTCTCTTTTACCTGAAGTGTCTATACTTGTTGTCTTACATTCCATTACATTTAGAATTGTGAAAAAACCATATATTCCTTTGATTTCTCAAACTTCAGTGCAGCTGAGGGGAACCACAGTTCTGCATTCTTCTGTGCTCAAATTCTACCATTTGTTTTACCATTTGTTTTATGTAGCACACTGCAGCTGCTCCTGAGTCTCTGTGACTCAACAAAGGTCTAGATTCACCTTTGATATCCCAGAGTCCTTTCCCTTCTTTCTAAAGCTATCAGAGACTTTTAGTACTTATTTGACCCCTAGGTAGCCTGTGAGCTCTCCGTCTTTTAGTCTCTTTAAAGGTTGATTTTTATTTTTGTGTGTATGTATGGTGGCTGCAGAGGCCAGAAGGTGGCATTAAATGTCCTTGAGGTAGAGTTACAGGTGATTATTGGCTGTCTGACATGGGGACTAAGAACTGAACATGAGTCTCCTGCAAGGCCAGAGTATCCTCAAAGTCTGGCATGAGAGCGCTCACCTTCAACCCCAGCACTTAGGAAGCAGAATAGGTAAATCTCTCTGTGAGCTGGAGGCCAGTCTGGTCTACAAAGTGAGTGTCTGGTAATGTAGACAGACCTTTTGTGGGGAGGGAGAAAAGGAGGAAAGAAAAAGAAAATGGTATATGCTCTTAACTGCAGAATCATCTTTCCAACTTCCTTGACTTTTACATGTATTTATCATATATCTCTGTGTTTACACACATATACCATGGCACATGTAAAGAGGACTTGGTTCCCTTTCTACCATGTGGGTTCTGATGATCAAGCTACATCAGGGTTAGTGGTAAACACTTGTGTGTGCTCAGCCATCATGTTAACCTAAACTTTATTGCTTCCATAAAAATAATTTTCTAATTTTTGCCATTCCTGCTACAAAATGTTTTCACAAGATAACATCATTTCCTCAGGATTCAGCTCTTCCTCCTCACCTCTACCCACTTTAATGTTATCCTCATTCATTCCTGGGTTTCAACCATTATCACAATGACTATTGCAGTTTTAACATTTTAAAATTATTTCAGTGTGGATAATTTTCTGCTACTCTTAAATCTTTTCTTTTTCTTTCTTTCTTTTTGGTTGTTCTGAGACAGGTCTACGTAGCCCACGCTAGCCCGGAGCTCATGCAGATCAAGTTAAGCCCCAAGGTCACATAGGTCCACCTGCCTCTGCTCCCAAGTGCTGGTATTAAAGGAGGGCAAAAACCATGCCTGACACCAACGTTTTCTTTTAAAATCCTACATTATAAGCTGTTCGTGATGGGTGGTCGGACACACACACACTTTCTACTACTCAGTTATAGCTCTGGCCTATCTAAACATCTATTAATTCCTTTGTCCTTTTTTCTTTGACTGCTATTTTCCCCTAAAACAATTACTAATATCAGCACATAATACATGAGGCATGTTACCTGTATTCAATTTTGTTTTATGTATTATTTAATATGAATGATTTAAACTCCTCCATAACTTCAAAAAGTAGTAATCATTATTCCTGTAATTTTATAGAACTGGAAACTGAAGCTCAAGGCACCTAACTGACCCTTTAAACTCCTGCATAACTTCAAAAAGTAGTAATCATTATTCCTGTAATTTTATAGAACTGGAAACTGAAGCTCAAGGCACCTAACTGACCCACAGACTCAAGCCTAGTGACCTGGACTGTATTCCCAGAATTCCTCACTTTGTTAATTCCTGTAATTTCTACTTCCTTTTAATACTCATCAGATGTGCAGCTTATTTTTGGAGACTTCTATAACAACGCACCCACACACACACTTTGGGTTATGTAATTTATTCTTCACTAGGCACACAATGTGCTTTATACATAGCTTTAAAAAAAAACAAACCACTACCTTTCAATAATAAACCTTTATTTATATTATAGTATTATATGAAGATTTAAATAATATAAGGAATGTGGCTTTTTCTTTTTGGAGACAGTTTCTCTATATATCCCTGGTTGGTCTGGATATCACTATGTAGATCAGGTTAGCCATGATCTAAGAGATCCATTTGCTTTTTACTTTTTAAGTGCTGAGATTATAGGCCACAACTCCAAACTATAAAAATTAATAAACACTGGCAATCTTACAAAATTAGTCTGCTAGAAATCTCAACCATGATGTTCTTCTTTGAGATCAAATAACTTATGAGTTTTTCAGAAGATTCTGAACACTGGGAATCAAACAGTAGTAATTTGCTGACATAATGAGCCCCTGTGAGATTTCCTGATGCCACTGCACATCCCTTTCAAAGTTAATATGCAGAGTCAAGAGTTCGTATTTCTACTACATTGTATCTTTAATCTAACTAATTATAATGTGATGCTACAGAGGCAGGGGTGACCTGATTGATAAGATCATGCACTTGGCATATGAAAGGCCCGGAATTCAATCTCCAGCACTTGGGCGCCCGCATACACACAACTGAACAGAAGGCAGGGGAGGTAGAAAGTAAATGGTACAGATCAAAGGATACTAACAAGAAATAATGTCTACATTTTTGAAACTAATAATGGACAAACATATTTTGATCCAGCCCTTTTTTTTTAAATTTTTTCAAAGAAGAAAATTAGATCAGAAAATCCTAATGTAAAAATAGTAGAACTCATGTTAGTGGCTAAACTGTTCCTCTATAACTCGTAGATTCTAGGCACCAATAATTCAGAATGTTATCTGGATTTAGGGCATTAAAGAATATACAAAGTAAAATCAAATAGATGAGCTTAATCTGGGATGATCGCCATTTTCAAAAGAAAAGAAGAATAGGACCTTTATCTTAGGCATGTAGATTTATCTTAAGCATGCAGAGAAAAGATCTTTGAAAATACAGTGAGAAGCTGGTAGCTGTCTAAAAGACAAGAAAAACTTCAGAGGGAAAAAAAATGTTGATGACTTACTAGGACTAGGTCTCCAAATCAGGGTATATTTGGCCTAAGAATCAATCAGTGCTACAAATTATTCCAACGTGGAAAAAAAATTATCACTACAAGAAAAAAAATCATCCAAAAAAATTAACAATAGTAAATCATTAGAAATAAAATGCATGGTGGCACATGGTTGTAATCCCAGAAATCAGGAAGGCAGAGGCAGGTGGATCTCTGTGAGTTTGAAGCCAGCCTAGTCTACAAAGCAAGTGCTGGACAGCCAAAGCTACACAGAGTAACCCTGTCTCAAAACAGTCCTCTTTTTCAGTGTGCCATTCTGTTCTCACATAGCCAGTGAACAGAGATAAAACAGATGTCACAGAATGTCATGTGAATGCTAAAATGTTTAAGAAAACTCAGCTGTTAGTAGATAATCATACAGAACTAAAATTTTCTTTCTTTCATTTTTGGCATGTACCTCTATACTGAGTGTTTCTGGGGTGTATGTGTACTGAGGGATTTTTAATATTAGCATATACAAAATAAATCTAAATGTAAGGACTCTTAAAAAATAGATACTAAATAAAACCATGCCCATCCTTCTACTGGAATGATAGGTACACTTCTGTCATTAAAGAAAGCTAAAGGGATGGTTACTACATCTCGATGGGTCCAGCACTTAAGCTCACAACTATGCACTTTGGATGAGAATCTATTTATTTTATATACACTTCCTAGCTTACCTTATGGCTTCTGAATCAATATGCACGGGAGCAATTCTTTCCAACAGAAATTTGACCATCTCTAGAAAAGGGTTGGTCGGCTGCTTAGGATTTGCAAGTTTCCGAGCTATTTCTCTCTATAAAAGAAAAATGTTTTACTGTCACTTAAGTTTTGAACAATAAGAATGATTATAGGTAGAGGAATCACTGAAAAATTCAAAACCCCAAAGTGAAACCAATTTCTGTTTTAGGCCCTGACTCAAAGTTATTTAAACAAACAATTATTGTAAAATCCAGACAGTGAAGAGAGATTAAATGGTTTTAAATGATTTCTGATGTTTGCCTTACACTTTTGCTATAGAATTTTAATTTAGTGTAATAACATAATTCTTTATTTAAAAAACTTTTTTCACAAGTATGGATAAATGGCTTTATTATTTTATAATTTAATAGAATACTGGCTTTCAGCCAGGTGTGGTGGATCTCTGCGAGTTCGAGGACAGCCTGGTCTACAAAGTGAGTCCAGGACAGGTAAGAGAACCCTGTCTTGAAAAAAATAAAACAAAACAAAAAAAGAAAAAATACAGGCTTTTCTTTTAGTTAATCTCCTTTAATAATATTATATTCTTAACATTATGTGTATATCTGTGTATGGGTTTGGGTACATGAGTATAATGCCCACAGGTAAGAAAACAGTATCAGAGCTATTTATCTCCACAAAGGAAAAACATTACAGGAACTGATGTTGTGAGCTGCTCTCAGTGGGTTCTGGGAGCTGAACTTGAGTCCTCTTCAACAGCTTTATGAACTCATAAACAATACAGCCCTAATTTCTTTTTTTAAAAGGAAAGGGGCTCAGAAGATAAAGGGGCTTGCTGCCAAACATAATGACCTGAGTTTGACCCACAGGATCCATATCTTGGGAGAAAAAAACTCACTCCTCTGACCTACATGTCTCCCCTGCACCCAAGCAAAACAAAACAAACAAAAACGCTGAAAAGAGAAGGGATGTGCAGCAAGGTACAATAGCACATGCATAAATGTGGGCTACTATGGAAATATCAAGCCCAGAAACTTCAGGTCAGCCTGGTCCAGGGAGACCTGGTCTTAGAAAGCAACCCACAAAATGGGGAGGCATGGGCTATATTAAAAAGTAGATGAATGTCTGGCAGTGTTTTTCAATTCTAGAAAAATACAAGAGAGAAAAAAAAAGTAGTCTCCCAGAATGTTAATAATGTGGGCATAGAGCTACACTATTCTGAATCCATGAATAAAAGCAATTGTCTCTAATTAAGCTCAAATATGGCAGTATTATATCAGAGAGCTCTGCCAAAGAATGGCTCTCTTGCTGGAATATCTCCTTGTTTCTTCTAGGTCTTCCAGGTGATATAACTGTGCTAATACTTATCAACCAGGTCCAAATCTCAGATTTCCAACCACAAGTAATATAGCACATGCAGGTATCTTCTGTTTTATTTATTTATTATTACTAGCATATATGTTTTATGTGGCTACATGTGGAGGACAGAGCACAAAGGACAGTCTTCAGCAGTCAGTTCTCTCCTTCCACTATAAGTTTTAGGACTGAACTCAGGGGAGAGCTTGCCACTGAGAACCTACTTATCGTCTGTTACACAGAAGAGTTCATTCCCCCAAACTAGAAATGCAATAGCTATTCCTGACACAATGCTCTAATTCCAGCATATTCTTTAAGACTCAACTCAGGAGTCACTTATTCTAGAATAAGTCATTCTCTGGCCTGTTTTCTATCCCTGCCTGAGATGAGTGGTGCCTCTTCTGTATATGGTTTTACTAGAACACTTAGCACATTGTGCTCACTATCAAAATAGTCATCTATTTCTGTCATCTACAAATTGGATAAAAGAGAATATATATAATACAAATTACTAAAATTGGGAGTAAACTAGCAGTGTAAACTTGATCAAGGGACAAAATAACATTTAGACTTTGAAGACACAATGTATAAATGGATAACCCTTTGCAGAAATCTTTTGCTGTTTTTTTGTTTCTGAATTGTTGAGAAAGGGTCTGAAGAGATGGTCTCCCAAGTACTAGGGTTGGAAGCAACATTCTGTACAACACAGTTGATGCCAGCCTCTAACAACTCTCCTCTCTCTCCAGTGCCACATAAGCACCACCCTTAGCCCCACCCCTCTCCAATTTACAAGGTCTTGTGCTTCTACTTTAAATAAAGAGCTGAAGTAATTTAAGTTAATATATACAAGTTACATGATACTTGCTAATAGAAAGCCGAGAAAAGCAAAAACTATTAGCATCCTCTTAAAATTACATTTATTTTGTAATGTGTATGCATATAGGCACATGCCATGGATGGCTTGTGAAGTAAGCGGATAATTTAAGGGATTCTGTTTTCTCTTTCAATCACATGGGTAAAGGAGCAAACTCTAGTTTTCTGATTGGCTCTGTTTTGTCTTGTTACCTTACTTACTTAATTCAAGAAAGCAGGATAGCACTATGGATTGCAGATTGGTCATGAACTCATGATTTTCTTGCCCTCACCTCTTAAAGGCTAGGATTACAGACAAGCACTACCATGCCTAGCTATCAAGCTCTTTTTCAGTACAAATACAGTCTTTATCTCCATCTTCCTGATTCATAAAACCAGAAGCACGGATTGCATTTCTTGCTTATTGTATTCATTCCAGAATATTTCAATTATAAATATCTGGGATTTATTTTTAAGATTTACATTTATTTATTCACTCTTTATCTATTTGTGTACTTGTGTGCTCTCAAGGTATGTCAAGTCATTGCACTGTATCAATCCAATTACATCAGTAGATTATCTGCAACGTACAACACTTAAATTCTAAGTATCAAAGTGGTACATGTAATCTTTAAAGCAGCAAACTATTCAGCTGAATGCAAAGGTGATGAATAAGCCTAAGCAAAGTTCTCTTCTGTAAGTGGGTCTTGCAACACATCCTCTTATATATTGATCTCTTTAGATTCCCCAGAGTGAATAAAAACTATTTTATGCTCCCATACCACTGTGTAAGAACATCTATTATAATCTTTAATCCCTCATTACATATTTAAATTATCAACTCTAATCCTTTTCAGAACAAAAGTAAAAATAAATAGCCCAAATGCTTATCTTTTATTCATGTTAAGCATCGTCTTAGCATTATGTATCACATCTGCATAATAGCATTAAATACAGAAGACAGGAACAAAACAAGTTTCTTCCCTACGTTTCTGTAATGATATTGGTTTCTTAGAAAATAAAGAGTGCAAGAAGACAGAAATCTACATTGGAATTTACTTCTTCTATAAATGAAATCCCATACATGATATGACAACTAAATTATTGGCAGGCTTTGTTCCTATGCTCAGAGACAAAAGAAGGAAACACATGCATACAAAACACTTCTTATATAAGGAAACACACATTAAATAAAAAGTATTCTATCCTTGTAATTTACTAGTGCCAGTCTCTCTGGCATAGATCTGAATTTTTCTTTCTTCTTCTTTTTCTTTTTTTTCTTGGAATATGGCTGGAGAGTGTTAGAAAAAGAGAATTTAGTTCCATTTGAATATAGTCCTAAGTCCTATAATAGCTATAAGAGCCACACAATAATATATATAATAAAATACAGATTTCTGCTGGTTGTTATGGTAGAAAGAAGGAAGAAAGAGAGCGAGAAAAAGTCAGAGAGAGAGAAAGAGAGAGAAAGAGCAAGAAAGAGAAAAGACAGAGAGAGAAAAAAGAAAGAAAGAAAAAAAGAAAAGAAAGAAAAGGAAGAAAGGAAATACAGATTTCTGCAAGTTATTAGAAAGAAAATATAGAAGCATAATTCACTAACCACACAAATGTCAGCTTGCTTGCATGAACAGGTTGGGCTGATTAATAATTCCAACTGAGACCGCAGTTTCTCATCATCACCAAGAACCTGGTTAAATTTCTTTACAAAATCTTGTGCTTTCCCAGGGTCAGGCAAATTTTCTATGAAATAAAAAAAATAAACATTAGATAAGAAAGGTTAACTACACTAAAAGTCTCTGTAAAACATTGGCAAGGAGCTTGAGAGATGGCTTAGCAGTTAAATGCTTACTGCTCCTACAAAGGACCTAATATCCACACAGGTGGTTCACAACTGCCTGTAACAATAGCTCCAGGGGATCTGACATCTCTGGACCCCACAGGTACATGTACCCACCCACCCACCCACCTACCCACACATGTGTACACATAATTAAAAATAAAACAAAATATTATAAAGTAAAAAAATATTGGTAAACCACATGGTACACATAAACAAGATTAACATAAGGATTGTCCTTTACTACTATATATCCATAGTATCACTGGCTAAATTAATAACCTGTTTTGAGTGGGCTGGAGAGATAGCTTGGTAGGTGAGAGCACTTAGTGCTCTCAACAAGGACCCAGGTTTGATTTCCTAGTACCTCTTTGTGGGCTCACAAGCGTCTGTAAGTAACTCTAATTCCAGGGAACTGAACATCACATATATCATGTTAATATATACATGCAGGCAAACCATTCATACAAATAAAATAAAACATATATGAAAAAGATCTATCTTCATATTTATTAAATGCTCATTGGGTAAATAAACAAACATACTTACTTGCTATGGTCATCAGTTTCCCAAACATGGCAGAACAGTTAGCCTCTGACTGAAATTTAAAAGATAAACAAAAAAATTAGTCATCCACATTAAAAAATTTCTTTGGGAGAAATTAATACTCACAATGGAGTATTAATCATAAACTTACTGTGGGCTGCTTGTGTAAATCCAACAGTTCACGTACATGGCTCCGAAGCATGTTCTGACATTTCCACATTTCATTCAGAGCTCTGTACACAGTTATAAAAGCTAATGTGTTCCTTAGCTTTATATAAATCAGAATCTAACTACTAAAACATGGCTAACCTCCCCTCTCTGGCATGTCTGGTATATTGAATGAGTGGGAGAGTGTGTGTGTGTGTGTATGTAAGAGAGATAGATTAGCAAAGAACAGTGGAAAAGCAGTCAAAAAATGGTAGTAGGAGAGCCTCAAAAGACCAAACAGCACAGTGTGGTAGCATGTTACCTTATCACTAAGGCATTACTTGAGCCCAGGAATTCACTCACAGTCAGCCTAGGCAACATGACTAGCCAGCTTAAGCTCCTGCTACAGTGCCTTCCTGGTTTGTTGGGACTGTACCCTAAAACTGTGGGCCAAAACAACCCTTCCTTAAGTTCTTTTGATCTTATCAGCTATTCTGTCACAATAGTAAAGAACTAATGTACAACTAAAATCTCAGCTAGCAAATGCTGAAAAACAAAGGCTGTCGGGAGTTTAAGGTTAACCTGGGCAACACCACAATTTCTAAAGCAGCTTGAGCTATAAACAACAACAAAAACAAATTAACCAATGAACCAAAAAAACACCTAAGAAAAGAAACTAACAAAAAAGGCAATTTATCTCTGAAAATTGCTTAACTGATACTTGGAAAATAAAACACCTTAAGATACTTTAATTACATAGTACTATAGAAAAAGTAAACATGGTTTTGCAATCTGTGAATTAAGACAAAAATCATAAACTTACTGTGGGCTGCTTGTGTAAATCCAACAGTTCACGTACATGGCTCCGAAGCATGTTCTGACATTTCCACATTTCATTCAGAGCTCTGTACACAGTTATAAACATAAAAAGATACATTATTTAACAACACTGCAAACTTTATGACTTTTTAAGTGTGGTATTTCTACATTCAGAAATAAAAATTTTAAGCAAGATTTTATTCGAATTTAAGAAAGTTTAATATAAGGGCTTTCAAATGAAAAATTAAAAAATGTTTTGAAATGCTTGATAAAATCTGGGCTCTTAAGCATGACAGGTACTTTATCACTCAGAGGGATTAATGTTTAGGTTCCAAAAGGTCAATCTTTCCAGGGAGGTGAAATAAGTCTAAACAGAGGTAGCTAGAGTTCTGTTCTAATAAAAGATAAAATGTCTGAGTATACAAACACACAGATATTTGTAACAGGATTTGCTACTTTATGGGTTCTTCTTTCTTCCACCTTTCTGCACCCTTTTAACCCCCTAACACTAGAAAAAAGGAAAGAGAAGAAAGGTAACAGATCCCTGAATAAAGTCAAAGGTTGGAAAATGGGCAACGTTAAAATTAGACTACTTCCTGCTGATTAGGGGTGTCAAGTTCCTTAGGGCAAGTTTGATCTTCACTCTCAGAAGATCTAATTTCTTGTTTCTTCTTCGCACACAACTACCTAAAACAAGCCGAAACCCCCCGGCCCCCAAACGACCAATATCCACCAATCCCACCTATCAGGGGCTCTAGCATTTATATTCCCTCTGAAAAGTTTCCAGAATTCCAAAAGTCATGCAATTGCAGAAATTATCTGCAGCTGACAAAACCACACGTCTGTCGGGGCATGAGACAAATCAGTCAGCTGCTGCAGACAGCCTGAAGCAGCCCCAAATTCCCACACCTGGTATTAAAATAAAAACATTTTTATAATAGTTCTGTATTTTAAACAAAACTAAAATTCCAAAATTCTCACATTTCCCCTCTTCTGTTTGAAGCCATTAATTATGCCAGGAGCAATGGGAAATTATAAACAGATATTTTCAAAGAACTAAGTGCTTTTCTGGTTAGTAGCCAGTTTTCACGAGAGCTCTGCTGCTCAATTTTAATCTTTATCAGTATTGATGGTACCCACAACTTTTCATTTCCTGTGGAAATATAAATAAATCCACATCCCCAGTGCAAAACTTGGTGAGCTTCCATTCTGATGTTAACACATTCTTTTAGTACATAGGCAAATTTAATTTCACAGTTTTTCCTATAACCTAGTGACTCTCAGCTGCTGTTATCTGAAAACAGCTCATGATTTTTGCAAGGCCTTGAGGTAGGGCTCCCATTTTGATTGCTGATGGCAAGAAATTACCTTAAATGATCTCTTTTAGATCTCTCAGTGGCAACTCTTTCCACATCACCTATACACCCTTGGAAGCCTAGATCTTTTTTCTGGTTTATATTTAGAAAAACTATTGCCCTTAGAGATGGCTCGTTTGCAAATTTGTTGCAAATGACCAAATTTCCCCCACAATTAAAATATGGAGCATTTTGAAATATGAGACCTTTAGCAGCTTGGTCACAGTCTCTTTGCAAAAGTCTGTAATTGAAGCACCAGGTATTTTGTTATCGAAGACCTTGAGTTATAATGACATATGTTATCAACATGGTACCAGTTAGTAACAATATTAGTCATATCCCTTAATGCTGCTCACACCCCTAATGATCTAGTAATATTTTACATTAGCTATTCACATTTTCCTACACCATGGTCTCTATCAACACCTGTCTGTGTCAGGGTCTGATACAGGTTTGTTCACAGCTGAGACTAATCAGAAAAGAAAGAAGGAAGGAAGGAAGGAAGGAAGGAAGGAAGGAAGGAAGGAAGGAAGGAAGGAAGGAAGGGAAAGAAAGAAAGAAAGAAGGGAGGGAGGGAGGGAGGGAAAGAAGGAAGGAAGGAAGGGAGGGAGGGAGGGAGGGAGGGAGGGAAGGAAGGAAGGAAAGAAAGAAAGAAAGAAAGAAAGAAAGAAAGAAAGAAAGAAAGAAAGAAAGAAAGAAAGAAAGAAAAAAACAGTGAAGGCTTCACCAGAATGTTGTATAATCTTTGTAAAACAAGGTGAACTTTTTCCCCGGCCTCCTCAACTTTGTCCCAAGTGCTTAAAGCCACTAAACAACATTGTTCTATAGTAGTGTAATCAAATTGAATGTGTTCTTGTAGATCAAAGTTAACACCCTTCAATCAACAACAGATCTTTTACTATATTCATTCCCCTCACTCTATTTTGCTGTTTAATATTTGCAGCTTCTTCCTTCCACCATGTTAACCACTGCAACTGTGGATTGGTCTCTAGTACAGCTGTCACTAATCCCTTCCAGTCTTGGGAAATAATTCTTTTTGAGTAGCCCAATTATTTAAAATGTTTCACATAAGGCAAGTGTACCTCAATATGAAACCACAGCCTGTTTAGACTGCCTTGGACCTATCATTTCTATAGGACGCTATCCTCTCTCATCATAACCTTGTTCCACATCAGCAGCAGGCATATGCTGTATGACTACTGGGAAAGCTGATGGTGGTGATCTCATAAACCACACTCTGGCAGTGCAGTTGGTTAACCCGTTCTCTCTAATGGGGTGTTCTGCTTTTTCAGCTTTTTTTTTTTCTGATCTTACAGCCTTCCAGCGCAGTTTCGTTCCTTCTCCTCCTGCAGGGAAACTCCCACTCTCTTGCCCAGTCACCAATACTTTCCTGTGCTCCCAATGCTTCCACCTCCACCCTCAAACTCTCCATTTTCCCTGACAATTTTGCAAAAGAGAGAGTAGAGTGACCCTTTTATTTTCCCATTTCAGCCATGTTTTGTTTCTCAGTCCCCTCCATTTTCAGTCGCAAATTTTCAAACTGCTCAGCCATTCTCCCAACCTTTTTTTGAAAACAGAATATAGGAAGAAAAAGAAAAAAACCGAAAATCCCCTATGGGAGCAAAGCGGAAGTATCCCAGTGGTAGCAGCCCCAAAAATTTTTTTGCTAATTGTCTTGGGGGGAAAAATCGACCCCTTCATTCCCTGACTTTTCTCTATGACATCTGAAACCAAATTTCCCATTCTGCCTAGCTCCATCACTGGATGACACTTGTAACTAGACTTTTTATACTTTTTGGGTTCTTTTTTTCCTGCTATTCTCCTCCCACACCTGGGATTAAAAGAAAACATATCTTTATAATAATGTTTTTTTGGTTTTAAAAAAAACCCAAATTCAAAAATTCTCACTACAGGTATAAAGACCTGGAATACAGAATATAAGTATGTGTTTGGGAGGTAATACAAATTGGAGTACACTATAGATAAATAAATAACAAAGGATATTTTTTTGAAAAAAATCTCACAGATTTATTCATTCATTCATTTATTATGTGGCATTCTGCCTGCAGATCTCATTATAGATGGTTGTGAACCACCATTTGGCTGCTGGGAATTGAACTCAGGACCAGTGTTCTTAACCTCTGAGTCATCTCTCCAGTCTCACAAAGGATTATTAAATGCCAGAAAAACAGATCTATGAGGAATGAAGACAGCTAAGTGTCAGCTGAAAGCTTCCTCCCTAAAAACTAGCTTTCATACTACCAGAAAATGCTACATAAGCTCCCAAAAGAAGGAAGCAACCAATAGTCCTAACCAGCTGTGATGCCTATAACTAGCATGGCACAATAACCCTAAGGGTTTAATAGTTGCATTCATATCTTGGTGGTAACCAACAGCTCTGTAATTATCACTATCCTTCAACAGGAGGGACAATCTTGACTGGCACTAGAAACTTAACCAACACCCAGGGCTAATTAGGTTATGAATCTTAGAGGCGTATCTATCACCACTTTATTAAAAACTGGTATAATTCCTAACTATACTCTAAATATTTATTTCACAGGTTAACATAGCTGTCACCCTTCACCAAAGAAGCTTCTCTTTGCAACAGATGGAGACCATTACAGAAAATAACAACAATCAAAATGCAGAGGACAAGTGACCCCGTTGTGACCATCTCAATTCACATATCTACAATACAGCCACAGCAACTAAGAACATCAATTAGGGAACATCATAGACAAGAGACCAGAAATATTTTAGGAACCAAAGCACCAAGAACTCTGGTGAGACTGTATCTCTTGGAAAAGACAGAGAAATTGTACCAATGCTACCTCAACATTATGACTGCCTAAACAACACCTGAACAAAGACAATACCAACAGACATGCTAACATGGAAGAACACCCCTAGACAAAACTATAAGCAACTAAGAAAATGCTGAAGAAAAGAAGTAGTCTTCCCTAGGGATGAGGTGCCTAATTCGTTATCTAATACCAAGTAGTCAACCCTAAAACCATTTCCATATACATAACACTAAACAAACTCAGCTGTATGTATCTATTTAGGCACAGGTGTGCACGTGCACATACTATCCTTCCCCCATTAAGATATAAAGAAAATAGCCATAAATTCAAGAGGGAGTAAAGAGAATGAGGCACATGAAAGGTTGGAGGGAGGGAAAAAATCATGTAATATTAACTTAAAAAAATTAAATGCTAGGCTAGAGAAATGCTCAGTGGCAAAGCATTTGCTATATAAAAATGAAGACCTGCTTTCATATCCCAGTACTCATGAAAAGCATTAATCCACGTCAGTAATCCCAGTGTTCCTATGAGGCAGAGACAGGAGAATCCTTGGAACCTTGAGGGCTAGCTAGCCTGGCATATACAAAAAATCCTGTCTCAAACAAGGTAGACAGCAGGGACTGACACCTGATATTGTCTGTTGGCGCTTACATAGATACTAGTGGACATGCATACTGGAACTCACACACATGCACACAGACAATCAGACAACAAAAAATGAAGAGTTTGTTATCAGGCATGGTGGACATGCCTGTAATCCTAGCACTTGATAGCCAAAGCAAGAATATCACTATTTGTCCATGGGAGCCTGACCTACATGAGACCCTGTCAAGACAAACAAAAAAGGGGAAAAAAAAAAGGACCTACGTCATGCAAATCCCCTCTGTATTCCAGGTGTCAAGAGAACTTCTAAAAATTCCTGTATGACTCAGTATTACCGACTAGATATTTAAAAATTAAAATAGGTGGAGGACTGACAAGCAGTACAGTACCTGTTTAGCATGCACAAAGCTTTCGGTCCCATCCCCAGCACTCTATAAACTGAGTGTTAAAGGTACCTGCTGTAATGCCAGCACTACCATTAGAAACTAACAGGTGTGCATGGTGGCGCACACCTGTTGATCCCAGCACTTGGGTAGGCAGGCTGATCTCTGTGAGTTCGAGACCTAGTCTAGAGAATAAGTATAGCCAAGGATACACAGAGAAACTATGTCTGGAAGAAAAATGATAAATAAAGGTCATCTGCAGCAATATGCCAAGCCTGGTCTGGTCTCCAAGAGATCCTGCTTAAAGGGAGAAAGGAAAAAGAAATTAGCCACCTGAAAGGAGCCTTAGCTTCCTTCAAATACTGATGAATAACGCTGCTGAAATCATCTCAAGGTCACAGCACTGGCTTCATGGAATTTCTTCTGATAATACATAATTTCAATCAAGCAAGAAGAAAACACTGGAAGAACCCAAACTGAGGTCAAAGTATACAAAATAACTGAATACAATACTTATGGAACACTTCCAAAAAATGTAAAAACTAAATATATAATATGTAACCAGAGTTATGTTGTCCAGGATGGCCTGGAACTCACAGAGGATCCACTTGCTTCTGACTCCAGAATGCTAAGACTAAGGGCATTTGCCACCAAGTCTGACACCCTAGTCCACTTGTATATGTCTCTTTTCACTCAAGATCTTGAACATCTATGTGAGCATTAAACTCACTATGTAGCAAAGGTAGTTAATTTTAATACCCACACACATAAACTTCTACACTATTGCTTGAATACCTAAAACCACATTATTAACACTGTTATCAAAAGTGTGTGCAAACAAGCAAAATGAAGACATGCATCCTGTATTAAAAATAAACAAACCCATCCAGGAAATATATGAGACATTGAAAAGTAACTTACTTTACAGCATTTGGATCCAAGCTAGCGTATAAATAATATAAGCATTTCATTCTCTCTTCTGTTTCCAGGTTATGGGGAACAAGATACTGAGCAAAGATTTTCTCTACCAATAGCCTATGGAAAATAAACACACAAACAATTATGCTATTTAAGAAGTGAAAAGTGCATTAACCATTTAAAAGATGAAAAGTGATTTAACCATTTTGTATGAAGTGTATTGTGTATACACCAATGCTTATCTCATCAAGGGTGAGAGCTATACGCACACAATGAAAAGCTTCAGTATACAGTCACTCTTTCACTCAAGAGAGTTGCAGTAGTTATTTTATATTTAGGTATTTTGTATTTGTGGCTTATTTCATTATATGTCATAAAACATTTGTTCTAGAATGCTTGAATGTTATTCCAAGGTAAGAGGGTCTCAAAGGCTGGCCTTGAACTCAGGGAGACCCTCCTGTCTCAGCCCTTCTCAGTGCTGGAATTATAGGTATGAGCACTGGCCCTGCCTTTTTTTTGTCAGTTCTGGAGAAGGAAAAGATTGGTGATTTTTGGGGGGTTGGGGGTTGGGGAGATCAAATCTCATGTATCCTAGGCTGGTCTCAAACTTGCAATGTGTATGCCAAGTTTGCCTTGAATCTCTGTCTGAGCCTCCAAAGTGCTGGGATTACAGGACTGTATTGCCAAGTTTTCTTAAATATCATTCTTAAACACAGGTGTCTGGCTGTCCCAGAGAATCTTCAGCATGCTGAAACCACAGACTAAGTTAAGTAGCACTACACAGAAAGCTCTAATACCAAGGACACCTAATTATCAAGAAAACTATTAACCTCCTCTGACTGCAGTTACGCTTCTTTCCTATGCTGTCATGTAGTAAAGACAGGAGGATCTCCCGTCATATTACTTCCTAAAAATTGTACACATCTGACTTTTTCTTCTCTCCAGTCTAAATTCCTATTATTCAGTATCATTAGAGTAAAAAAACCACAAGAGCTCTTCATTAACTAACACAATACATATATTCAGTGATGCATAAGTCATTCTAATTCAACAAAACATTGCAAAGTATGTTACAAAAATCAAAGTGGTTTACAAAAACAAGAGTTCTTCATTAACCAATATAATATATACATTTAGTGATACATAAGTCATTACTATAATTCAACAAAACATTGCCAAGTATTTTATAAAAAAAAAAATCAGCATTATAAAGAGAATAATAAGTAGCATTCAGAAAATGAAAACAGTTTCTCTACTGGTTGTAATAATCTGGCAAAAAGGAAACTATTGTTGAGAAGGACTACCAACCAGTGCTTTACTCAGACACTGGGCCTGGGTGCTATACACTTACTACCTAAACCCACAGGACAATCCAATAAGGAAAGCGTTATTACTCTTCCTTATTTTATAAAGCTCAAGTACATAAAAATAAAATGACAGGCTTGATGTAATATACGCTTTTAAGCACAGAATTCAAGAAGCAGAGTTTAGAGGCCAGCCTAATCCAGGATAGCAAAGGCTACACAGAGAAACCAAAACCAAAATAAGTAAACAAACAAATACGATAAGAGACAAAATGTTCCGTCTGTGTCCTGCCTTACTTACCCCAAGTTCATGCTTATTTCACTACTATTATGCTACTTTACAATCTCGGAAAGAATTATATTTAAGCACCATATGTATAAATATGCACAAAATTATTTCTATTTATTTAAATTTAGAAATAAATTATGTAAACATTAAATAGAAGTATTTAAAAATGAAAAGCAGTTTTGCCAAAATACTACTCACTTGTCATCAATGCTATTCTGATAATAGATGTGGAGAAGTTTGTCCTTTATCCAACTGACTTTCTCTGCGGCTTCCTTGCCTGCTTCACCATGAAGGCAGTATTTCTTATAGAGTTGAGCCAGACCCATCATGGCTTCTTTTCTTACTCGCCACTAGAAAGGATAGCACTTATGAGATAAGGAAGACATCAAAATTACATTAGATCTATAACCTGCAATGGCTGTACTAGGCTATGCAGTAGTTATTGTGTGCATTCACAGATGCACAGTGGATCTTCTCATAAGCACCTTTGACAAATTGCTTTTTTGCACCTAGTTCTGGTATGACACCAGAGAAATAACTATATACACTTTTCAGTAAAGTACTGTAGCTAAATGACCTACCAACTTTTTAGTTCCCCTCAATCCAAGCAAAGTAGTTTCATTCAGTTCAATTCTTTAAATATATACTGATGTGAATAAAAAGGTAAAAATAAAAATTGTAAATTATGTAATTTATTCTGTATATAAAAAGCTACAATACTTTAGTTAATTATATAGCCTTTGAGTTTTACTGTCAATACGAACAAAGTTCTATTGTTTTTAACAAAAGACTTGGGAACCAGATGCTGGGGTTAAAGCCTCCTCACTCAGAGCAGCAGAGAAAGCACCAGCTGACCTTCCGCAGAGAAGGAATACCCCTTCTCTAACACCTGCCCGTCTCAAACAAGAATCAAACAATGTTCCTCCTTTCTATTTTCTGCGCTTCTCTCTATCCATCCTCCTGACTCACTTTTACTCTTGTTTTCTTTCTTAATAATCCTATGTTCACTTCCTGTCAACTGGTTGCTTGCTCTGCCTCTTGACTTATGGTTGACTTTATGTAATTTTGTTTACAATATTCAATACAATTTCAATATTCAAGCAGAAAGCTCTTGTTTGCTAAGGATGAAACACATCACGACTAAAAACAGGTTTTTCTAGTAAATAACACAATCTTGGGGTCCACAGTGTGATCAAATAACCTTCAACAAAGTTCAGCACCAAGAATTCTGGAAAAGCAAAGTTGGTAAAAATATTTTCATATATCTTAAGTTAACTTCTTCACTTTGTAGACTTGCAAATAATGGGACTAGTGAGTTGGTTTAGCACGTAGGGGCACATGCTGCCAAACCTGGTGATTGAATTCAATTCCAGGACCACATGGAATCCTCAGACCTTCATGTGCACTCATAGACATGCACACACACACACACACATACACACACCAATAATAATAAAAAATTCTGTAACAAAAATGTTATTTAGGGTCTGGGAATACACCTTGGTTAGAACAGTGCTTGCCTAATATGCATGGACCCCTAGATTTGCTAGATAGGTAATAGCAAGTTAAAACGGGGAAGAGGAGATTCTGTAATGCAAACTCACGACCACACGCACATTTAAACTAAGGCAAAACAACAAACCAAACTAATAAAAACAAAAAACCACCACACCTCAAAAGTTTTAACTACTAACACTGTTAAACAAATTAGTGTTCTTTTCTTTTTTCAACATCTGCCACATGACTATTTTAAAAATAAGATGAAAACCACCTCTGGTAGTATGTCAAAACATACTGATACACCCTAAAATCACACCCAAATTATGCTTTTCTAGAAAACAGAAGTTTTTCAACAATGTCAAATGAACCAGTACAGTGTAAAGTAATCGCTGTTAAAAACAAGTCTGGCTTGGGGCTGTAGAGATGACTCAGTGGGTAAGATCACACTGGCTGCTCTTCCAGAGAACCTAGGTTCACTGCCTAGCACCAACATAGCAGTTCACACTTTCTTACTCCAGTTCCAAGGGACCAAAGGCCTCACACAGACAAACATGCAGGTAAAACACCAATGCACATTAAAAAAGCAAAACCAGAAACAAAAACAAAACAAAACCAAGTTTGGCTCTTGCTTAAGGCTGACTCAACTCTCCTTTAGTAACTATAATGGTTTGAGACATTACCTTTCCATATCAACCCATGTTTCTAACTGTATCCAATGACAGAAGCAGCAAAATAAAGTAATCACAATGCCATTTCTTCTCTTAGCAGGCATTATGGAAATAGTACTTTCTTAGAAAGTATATTCTTTTAACTGAATGATAGAGACCCAGCTAAGCTATACAAAATATAAATAAAAAATATACATAATCAAATGACTTGCCTTTTATAAACTAAAATGTGCAGAAAAATCAAACTATTTCATTACCTATTTTTCTTTCTATAGTAATGATACAAGAAAAATCCATTCCCATAATATAAAAAGATTCAGAAGCCAATATATTTATTCATAAAGATAAGTAAAGAATCTGTAAGTTCACAGCCAGCCTGTTAAGTTCCAGGACAGCCAGAGCTATAGCAAAACCCTGTCCCTATACCCTACCCCCAAAGACCCCCAACAGTTCTACATTTAGCGTTTTTCTGGTATACAAATTCCAGACATGCGTAGCAAACAATTTGAACACTGTATGTCAGGGAAGAACAAAACTCTCAGATCTTACCCGTTTATCCAGTGTCCTTTCCCTGACGAAACCAAGCAACTGATCATTTACTAAGGCAAGGTCCCTTTTGGCAGCTGTTATTATAGTAACAATGACATCATGACGAATGGCTTCTTCTGGATCATGTGACCTAACTTTCAAATATTCTGTGATTGAAAAAGAAGAGTTAATCTAAATGTTAGCTATATAAATTGTCATGATTCAGAATGATAAAAACAAAAGTTTTGCCCATGTTAATGTTTATAAAATACAGGATGATTTAAAATCACCTATAAAAGAGGACTGAGTACCCTTTACTACTCATAAAACCATGCTTATTACTTCAGAGCACATTCTAATAAATAATGTATTTTGGTGGAAGGTCAAATGACATCATAGTACTAGCTTTACAGTTTGGAAAGTCATTTATAAATTAAACAGTACAAATACTCATAAAACAAATGATATATACATAACATAAAATAGAATATGACCTTTTAATAAATTATAATAAAATAAAAGTTATTTCTTCTGTTTTTAATAAATGGTTGATAAAAGTGTTTTATTTGATACTGCCTATTTAGTAGGTTTAAATACCTTAAATTGAATAATAGAAAGCCAGGTGATGGTGACTACTCCTTTAGCCCCAGCATTTGGGAGGCAGAGGCAGGTGGATCTCCAAGTTTGACACCAGCCTGGTATATAGAGTGAGTTGTAAGACAGCCAATGGCTATGCAGAGAAACCCTGCTTTGAATGAGGACCCCCCCCAAAAAAACCCCTAATAACAAAAAGTTACAATTTAATCTATAAGACAGCCCTCATTTTTCTCCACACATTTGGTATTTTAGTATACTTAATAATGTAGATGTGATTTGTATCTATTTATTTTGAGACAGGTCTCACTGTGTAGCCCTGGCTCTCAGAGATCACCTGCCTCTTCCCAAGTGCTGGGATTAAAGGTCTGCACCACTATATCCAGCTGTGATTTGTATCTAAATTCAATGACATAAGGATTACATTATCTCAAGTTATGATTTCTGGAAAAAAAAAAATCCCAACAATCAATACATGAATCTTTCAAAGGCAACTTTACTTTATAAAAAGGAAATAATTTTCCAGCCCACAAAGCATGAAACCATCCTAGAATCAAATCCTTTTGGAAACTAGAGTTAGGTTCAGGTCACATTTAAGTGTTTTTTATAGTTAATGTATGTTCATATGTGTAACTAAGGAGCTTACCGGTGAGATCCTTTGCTAAATCTGGGTGATTCATCAAACAGTGACTGGCAAATTTCACACTTTCTAATCTCACAGGAACATGAATGTCATTAAATCTAAACAAAAGGATTGTTAAGTATTAACAAGGCCAAATAATTATTTTCAAGTAAATGAAATAAAAGTGTTTATAAAAAACAATGGATACTGAGTAGAAACTGTGTTAATTACACTGACAGCTAAAGTGTTCTATGGAAAACCACACCTTTAACCCTCGCTCAGGAGGCAGAGACAGGAGGAACTGTGTGTTTAAGAACAGCCTGGTATAGTGAGTTTAAGACAGCAAGAGCTACATAAGAAGACTAAGAAACAGAAGATACATAATTCTACAGAAACATTTTACAAACAGAAGATACAAAATTCTATAGCAACATTTTACAAAGAGTATGTAACATTTTACCATGTTGAAACCAAATCTAGCATAAATATATTCTCCAATTCAAGTAACACATTTTACAGTCCCAAAATTACTAGAGCTTGAAATTTTACTACAAAATAAAGAATACTCAGAACACTCCCACATGCTGTGGCACTACCCTCCACACCCACACACTCATGTACAAAGTGTTACAATGAATGAGTAAGCTTTCTTCATAAATACTTTGCTCAAGAAACTTATCCTAAAAAGAAACAAATATCAATTAATGCTTTGGTATGTGTAATCTTAATCTCATGGACTCTGAGAGCATACAAAATTCAAAAGTCATGCCTTCTTACCGCCCAAGAAAACACTGCCAAAGAGGCCGATTCTGTGTTGCTAAATCTGAATCTTTAGAGCCAAACAATTTAGCTAGTAGTCGAACCACAGCTAATCTTTCTTCACCATCGTTGCTCTACAAAGAGAAAAGACAAAGGGAGCCTGCCCTTTATTTCCTAAGTAGCAACAATTTTATATTTCAACTTATATGATGAATAATGTAAAATATTACATGCTCTTGTTTACTATGGAATTTTTTTTCTGATTCCATGTTAGATCATCTGGCTTTCTGACCTTAATTTATAAATACTTATATTATGTTAGTTTATACCTACTTTACAAGTTACATGTTGACTATAGACACTTTGTATAAATAGAATCATTTTATTAAATCTTTCGTCTAAGACTTTAGGAAAGCCTGCCAAGGACAAAGTGACAAATAATTCCTACCCTAGTAAGCTTCCTTCATAAAGGTTCTTTTTTGCAAATGAAACATCAACACAAATACAGATTACTTAAGGTTCTGGTATACAGTTTTGGTAATGATTCTCCACTGACTACAGAACATGACAGAATAGAACAACACTATTAAGAAGAATGGAAATTCAAAAATCAAGTTAACCATTCTCAGGAAGTTTTTGGGCAATGAGAGTAAAATATGTACATTTGTACAAAATGATGTAAAATGACGATTATGTAAGGCTTTAACACAGTAGTAAAATGAAAAATTTTAAACTTTTCTCTAGCAAAAATAAAACAATGCTGAGAAATATCAGCATTTAGTATGTCCAAAATTTACTAGTTAATCCATTTTACTTTTTAATGGAAAATTAATGTCTTAATTGTCAAACAGTAGATTATATGGAAATTTTGTATTACATGAGAGTGACTATATTTACAGACCTGTGATTATTTCAAGTAATATGACATTTCAAATTTATAAACTACTATTTATAAAACTGTTAAGCTAGCCAAGATTTAACTCCCTGCTTCCATCATTGTAAGATGTCAGTAAAATGACCTTTAGGTGTAAAAATGCTTGTTATTGTTGACATACAAGTATGTTGATATAAGTTACAATGAAGTATTATCTCATGATGATAAATGCACATGTGTGTGTGTGTTAAACTGACAATATGAATAAGTAGAACAAAAATTTAAAAATTCGGTTGGGTGCAGTGGTGCACACCTGTAATTCCTGCACTCAGGCAGATAGAAGCAAGTGGATCTCTATGAATTTGAGGGTCCGCTAGTCTACAAAGTAAGTTCTGAATAGCCAAGGCTACAAAGAAAAACCCCCGTCTTAGAAAAAAACCAGAATAACAACAACAAAAAGATTTTAAAATTCTATATTAAGGTTATCCATTATTTTTCTAATATTACATTTATTGTGTACATGACTATATGTGCATCCTAAAATACTAAATCATAAAAATGATTAAAACCATTATAAATTTAGTATCTACTTAAATACATGATTATTTAATACTGAAATGCTGAATATTATAAATTTCAAAGATGTCAATAATTTCTTCTCATTTATTTATTTAGTCATTTTACAGCCTGATCCCAGCTCCCATTTTCTCTTCCAGTCCTACACTCACGACCGCCATGAGTGGTCGCGACACTAATGTCACTAATGTGACATCACCATGACACTAATGTCACATCTCTTGTGTTCACTAGTACATAACAAGCAGGCACATAATGTTACATGAGCTAAACGAGATAAACTAGACTCATTTCAATTCCTTTAAAATTACAGAAAAAAATCTTCAAAGCATATTTTTTTTTCCTGTAAAGCTCTGTACCATACCTTCAGTTTGAATTCAAGCTGCGGCATGACAGATAACAATAAATGAGGGTCAATAGCGAAAAGTTCCTGAATCAGATCAAATACATGCTCAGACAGATCACTGACTGACGATCTTCCCAGCACCAGGACTTGATTGAAAAACTAGAGGAGACGTGAATATTAAAAAATTGTTATTTTACTTAAAAATTTAAACAGTTTTCTATAAATATACACGTAAAGAATTACTGAGCATTATACATACAACTGAAAGGAATGATAAAGATTAGCTACTAAATTACTAACATGTAAGTGGACAGTCATAAACAACAAGAAACAACCTTTTGAATATTATCCAATCATGAATGTTATAGGGAGAAATTAAAACAGGTAATTGGCTGTGACATTTCTGAAAACTTTAATTTTCACTCAAATAAAACAATTTAGACAACATGTATAATTCATTATAGGAACATTTATAATTCATTATAGAAACATACAAAGCAATCACTCAGGAGTGAAAAAAATTTAAAGTCTCAGTCTGATTTGTATTTGAAAATTATTCTATTTTCCTTTCTTTGAGTTTAATGATAAATACTACTTTAGGGCAGACTAAGTCTACCTTAATTTAAGTTTCTACATTCTCTTGTTTTATAGCTAGTGAAAGTCAAATGCATTCTTATTCAGAGGATAAAAATAAAGGTTCAAGATGCAAAAGCTAGTTGATAATTTTACATGCTTTTAACTGGTGTAGAGTTAAGAGTATGCACTGCTCTTGCAAGTTTACTTCCCCAAATTCATTTATGTGGCTCACAACTGCATGACACTCCAGTTCCAGTTCCAGGTGATATAATATTGGCCTCCTCCAAGGGAATTAATTGCATTCATGTGTACCCACCCTCCACCCCACTGATACTACTAGTGCTGGAAGAAAAAATATAATATGATAGTGTAAAAATTATCAATCACCTATATAGAATGCTTGTTACCTTTTATATTGATTCATTTTTATTTGTGTAAGTGTGTGGGTATCTTGAGCATATGCCAATGTGTGACCACGGAAGACAGATGTGTGGCCTTGAATACACTGGAGGTAGAATTATAAGCAGCTGTGAGCTGTTGGGACATGGAAGCTGGGAAGGGAATTTGGGTCCTGTCTCAAAAAAAAAAAAAAAAAAAAAAAAAAATCCAAACCAAACCAACCAACCAAAAAACCCAGTTCTATGCAAATAAATATTTATTTTTAACATCATAAAGTTTTATGTATTTCTTCTGAAAAGTAAGATAAATTAAAAGTCAGAAAATATTCATATTTAGCATAGGGTCTCTAAAAGGGGTCTTTTAAAATTTGTATTTATAGGTAGCTGGAGAGATGGCTCAGTAGATGAGGGCACCAGTTGTCCTTCCAGAGGTCCTGAATCCAATTCCCAGCAACCACATGGTGGCTCACAACCCTCTGTAATGGAATCTGATAACCTCTTTTGATGTGCATGAAAAGATAGAATGCTCATAAATGTAACATAAATAAATAAATCATTTAGCATAGTGTTCAAAATATATACAACTGGGGATGGAGAGATGGCTCAACAGAAAAGAACACTGGCTGGTCTTCCAGAAGACTCAGAAATACCCACATGGCAGTTCTCAAACATCTGTAACTGCAGTCTCAGAGGATAGGATAGCCTCTTTCTGACTCCTATGAATACCAGGTACACATATGGTACACAAACATACATTCAGTCAAACCACCCATATACATAAATTAAACGAACACATGAATATACACAAATTAGCATGGGATGACACTTATGGAAGTGTATCTCAACTTATTGATGGTTTATTTCTGAAAACAAGACACTCAAGGTAACCTACTAAAATCTTAACTTAGTAACACATAGCAATTTTACATAATTTAAATTAATAATCCCTCTTTTTTACAATGAGGCAATTCCACAACAGTAGTATTACATTCCCAAAAATGATCTATAAAGAAAAACACTGATAAAACCTTTAATACAAGGCAATAAGGGAAAAGGGAATGTGTCAATTTATAGTCATTTGTAGTATTAACAAAAAGATGAAACACGGAACTAGACATAAAAACGAGATGTCCAAGAGTATATTTGTAAAAGAACTGTTATTTTAAGGCAGTAAAATTATAAATTTTTATCAAATTCGACTTCTTGACGAAGTGAGATTTATGTTTGTTAATTACTTTTCTATTAAAATAATTTATTAATTTATGCACCTGCTTGTATATATTAGGAGGCGTGCTTGTCAATTTTTAAAATTTTTTATTTTTTGGTTTTTCAAGACAGAGTTTCTTTCTATAGCTTTGATTATCCTGGAACTAGCTCTGTAGACCAGGCTAGCCTTGAATTCAGAGATCCCACCTGTCTCTGCCTCCTGGGTGCTAGGATTAAAGGCGTGTGCTATCATTTCACATCAATGAATTTTTAAAGACAATATTTTTTCTTTTATTTTTTACTTTTTCTTTTTCTTTTTTTTTTTTGAGACAAGGTTTCCTCTGCTGTCCTGGAGACCAGGCTGGCCTCCAACTCACAGAGATCCATCTGCCTTTTCCCTCCTAGTGCTGGGATAACAGCATGTGTTTCCACACCTGGTTAAAGACACTATTTATAAAGCTGGAGCAACAGCTCAGCAGGTAAAAGTCACCTGCTCCAAACCTGATGAGCTTATAGTTTGATCCCCAAGACACAGTGAAAGGAAGAACAAAACTGACTCCTACAGGTTAAACTCTACCCCCCAGCTCCTCTCCACACTGTCTCTTAAAACATATTTACAAATACCTGCTCAAAAAGAAGAAAGAGGGCTTCAGAAGAACAAACTTAAAGACACAAAGAAGAAAATGTATACAGATAAGGACAGAAATCAAAAGGTGGAGGCAGGCAGATCTCTGAGGCCAGCCTGATCTATCTAGTATGTCCCAGGCCAGCCAGAGCTACATAGTGAGACCCTTTATCAAAGTGGGAGGAGGGACATACAGAGACAAAGTCAAAGAGTTGGAAGGTAAAATGACAAGTGTGAGTACAGATGCAGAAGAAAGGGTGAGAAGTATAGTTAGATTTTTAAGTCAAACCCATCACTTATTCTGGTCTGAAGACATTTTGTTTTTAAGTTTATGCTATATTTCTATAGTTTTGGTCATGTTCACATGCAAGCTTTCACATTTTATCTGAATAAAACTGTTAACATAATAAATATATTTGTATGTGAATGATTCTAATAAATTCATATAATACCTCAAGAATTAGAGTTCTGAAATGTATACAGAAATACATACATTGGCAATGCATGCTTCAATAGTCTGGACCGTCCTTTTCAACAGGACTTTTGCAAGATCGAAGGACTGTTTATTTAAGTTCTGAAAAACAAAACATGGAAAGCTACAAATGAATTGGTGAATTAATGAGACAGCATCATTTGAACAGTAAGTATGCAAATATACCAAAACATGAAAAAAGGGAATTCCATTAGTTTTACACAGAAGGTACCAAATGAACTCAACAAGTCAAATACTAAATACATTAGACAGTCAAAAGTAAAGCTATGTAAAGCTTTACTAAACTAAAACATATGCCAAGGTTTTTGAGTGTTTGTTAACCAACATGAAGTTACTACACACTTATCCTAAATACACCCTGCCTCCAAACCACAAACCACCATGCTAAATATTTCATTGTTTAATCAATGTGTACTTGGAGAAAAGTCCTGGGGATGTGATGCAGTGGAACAGTAGATTGATCATATAACATTCATGAGGCCCCAGATTCAAGTTCCTGAACTACAGAGACAAAGGAGTGTGGAAGTCCCTTGACCAGCTGTATTTTCATCCCCCCCCCCCCCCCCTTTTTTTAAGACAGGGTCTCACTATGTAGCACTGGCTGGCTGGCTGGGTACCTATTAACTAGATCAAGCTAGCCTCATAGATTTGCCTGAGTCAGTTTCCCAAGCCACTACAGCAAAGGTGGGTGTGAGTCGTCACAGCAGATCACCTGTTTTTGAAATGAGGAATATTGTTTCCTTAAGTCCCAATGCACTATAACAAATTAAAGGATGTAAGAAAGATGGTAGCCATTGCATATATTTAAATTTTAAAACTTACTGAAAAAACAATTATTGTTTTAAGAACACCTGTTAACATAGATTCTACTGAATCTGTTAAATAGATTCAGTCTTATTCATCCTGTGCCTCTCAGAAAAAGCTGGAAACACTATCCTTTTGAGGCCAGTGGTTGACAGCACTGGCTGCTTTTGCAGAGGATAGGAGTTTTATTCCCAGCACCTACATAATGCCTCACAACAATCTCTAACTCCAGGTCCTCTTCAGGCCTCTATGGGCATTGCAAACACAAAAAGTACACATACATGTAGGTAAGATACCCATATACATTAAGTAAACAAAGAAAGAAAAAAAAACCTTTCAAATACTTTAATCAACTTATCTTCTAAAGATAACAGCTATGCTGGGAGCAATGGTGCACACCTGTAATCCCAGCACTCAGGGAGGCAGAAGCAGGCGGATCTCTGTGAGTTCAAGGCCAGTTTGGTCTACAAGGCAAATCCAAGACAGTCAGGGTTGTTACACAGAGAAACCCTATCTCAAAATAAAACAAAACAAAAAAAAAATTTAAGATAATAGTTAAAAGACTAATATGAGCAATTCTAGGGTCAGAATAGGAATTATTATTCCAAACTGCAAATGGACAAGAGCCAGTAACTGATTTCTTTAGGTAAGTTGATCTTTAATGATCTTAAATATCTTGATTCTATGCATACCTTGTGTGCAGGAATGAGGTTGATAAGAATAGAATCCAATAATTCTTGAGTAACTCCATCACCTTCCATGATGATAGAACTCATCAAGTCTAACATGTGCATTTGTACCTTCTTATTGTGGTTATTGCTAAAAAAAAAAAGGAAGAAAAAAATTAAGGCATGTAGAAAGACAAACTTCCCAGGAATCTGTTTTCCTTCATGTACTTGTTTGTTTACTGGTGACAAAGTTTTGCTATGTAACCCAGATTGTTCTCAAACTCAGGTTGTACCTCCCCACCCTCTTAAGTGCCACCATGCTTGTTAAAATTTTCAGTTTAAAGCAATAATCTTAAGACCTGGAGGCAGAGACCTATAATCCTAGTTCAGGATACTGAGACGGGTAAATCATAGTTTAAGGAAAGCTAAACTTATTAGGCAAGATTCTCTGTAGGGGACAGAGTAAGGATGGGAAATAATAGCTCAGCAGTAGATCCCTTACCTAACACATATGAAACCAGGGATTTAATCACAGTACAACATAAACAATCTAAGGTGTAAAAAAACTTTTACTTGAGAGATCCATGATGACAATGGCAAAGAAAGTTCAGCTGTCATATTTACTTCTCCCCAAGGCCTGCTATGATAACTGAACCATGTTATTATAAAGTACTCTACCAAAACAAATACCACCCTACTTTCTAATGACATATTCTCTACAATTCAGTTACCCATATATATTTACATACAATAAAGAAATCCCTTTAAAATGTATAACCTATAGAAAAATGTAACCTATATTCTATAGTATAAACACAGAGGTTTAAAACAAAACTGAAAGACTGAAAGGTTTAAAATATTTCCTGAAATTAAAAAATAATGTTTGACCCATTTAGCATTTAATGATGAATGAAAACATATAAACTTGTAAAAGTTGGGGAGTGTGGGTTGCCATACTGTTACAGTTTCCCACAACTCTTAGTTCTTTCGCATGTACTCTCCAAAATATCTTACATAGTTTCAAAATGGCAACTGTGAAAGACTACTGAGAACACAATTCTCAATGTGTCTGTCTAGTGTGTGTGGAAGGAGAATGTGCTAAAGAAGAGTATAGCTATTCAGCTTGATGTAAAACAACACAAAACAAAAATTTGACTGCTTGGTTCTCAGATCCATATATCCTTAAGGGAAGGATACAGAGAATACAGAGAAGACAGATTAAAAAGGCCTTAAAAACTTATTCCAAGCCAATCTTGGGGATGCACGCCTTAAGTCTCAGTATGTGGAGGGCAGAAGCGGGCTGTGGATTCAAGGCCAGCCTGGACTACACAGTGAGTTCTAGGTCAGCTACACAGTGAGAGAAAGAGAGAGAAAAAACAAACAAAAACAAACAAACAGCACCTTACAACGTTCAGAGTTCTGAGTAAGCAACCATGCTATGAACCCAGGAAAGATAGCCCTGATGGTTCTCCCCAGAATCCACACAGAATAAAGTTTGTAGAGCTGCATATCAGTGGGCAAAGAACTACTCAGAAATCAAACTCAAAGAATCCAGGGCTTACTGATCAGCACATGCATGTGAGAAAGTTCCCTCTTTGTATCTGGAGAATAATCTTTGTACTTCGTATGAGAGTTTGGAAGAGCAGTCAAAAGAAGATAAGACCAGAGTCTAGAAACTAAGGAGCCCCAAGTACAAAACTAAAACAAAGCCAGAAGTTCTATAATATATCATAATCAAATTTGCTGAAATGAATTATCAAGTATTACTAAGTATACAGTAGATTTTGTGTTTGAGGTTATAGAAGGAACAAAATTGTTAAAGACAGTAGCCATAAATTTCAAAAGTAAAGCCTATGAAATGGTGGTACAATGTAAACAGTGGTGTAAATTGTACTTTAAAATTTTTTTATGTGTGCATCTATGTATAACATATACATGTGTGTACAAATACTCATTAAAGCATGGATGGAGACAGGTCAAACTCACAAGCCACCAACTATTTTGGGGGAGGTGGGTCCTCTCACTTGACTCACCAATAGGCTGGTTGACTAGAAAACTCCAAGTTCTGCCTGTCTCTATTTATCCAGCATTGAGATTAGAAGCATGTGTCATTGAACCTAGCTTTTCTACATGGTTTTGTGGTTTAAACTCAGGTCTTCATAATTGCACTTTACAGCAAGCATTTTACCTGGTCATCTCCCCATAAACTGTTTCTGAATGTCACTTTTTAATGATGTTCCAGGATTGGTCTATCTGATCAATCCTGTAACCTAGATTTGCCTATGCATCTTGCTTAGCCAGTAAGACAGAAGCTCCTGAAGGATTACAAAGTTCTATTATTCTACAGCTTGCTTTTCTTGACATTTTTTTTTTAAAGTTTACTGAGTATATGAAGATACTGGGTCCGGTCTGATAGGTGATAAAAGACATTTTTATTGTTCCATTAACTCAACCAATTGCCAGGTGTCCTGCTAAATAACTACAGACACAACAGACCAGACTGACAAACTGCCAAGCCCAGAATCATGGGCTGAAGGAAATGGTGGATTCTTACACTATCAGACTCCTAGTACATTCTTTTATACACAAAATAAATACAAAAGTAATTTTTGTCACTTGTTCAAACGACTTTCTGGCAGTAAAATGCCACAGGAAGCTCTTACGATGTAAATGATTTAGCTTCCAACTTTGAACTAACCAAATCTGTTTATTCTAGTTAACAGCAAATCTTCATTACAGCAAAGAAAGAAAAAAGTTTTAGAAATGCACTCTAATATGCAACCTCACAAAGCCACATCCTAAAAGGTTAATTCTTTTGGATACAATGAATTAATGAAATGAATTTCATCTACTTCTTCCTACATGTCTTAATGTGGTAGAGAATTTAAAAGTAACACAAGACTGGTCTCAAACAAATAAAGAAAAAGTTAAAACAAGACATACTTGCATATAATATAATGCTTTAAGACACATTTCATAGATGTTTGCTATAAACAAATAATAAAACTACTGGATGGAAGTCAGTTTGGACTCTCCTGACCAGTAACTATGCTGATTTTCTTTTTTCTATTAGTTTCTCCAGTCTATGAAAAGCTGATTTAAACAATGTTTATGCCTTTAACGAGTCAGGGGTATAATTCAGTGGCAGAGCATTTGCCTAGTATTTAGTAAGTGGTGAAGCCCTAGATTCCATCTCAACACTTTCACAAAATACATATATTACTTACTTATATACATACATACATGCATACCTCAGTCCAAAAAGCAGACATAATCAACATGAATGGACTAATCTGTTCTGCTCCACAGTACTTCATTGTTTCATGTCTCATGCCTTTTACACAACAACAGTACTAGTACTTCTACTGGTTAAGTTTCTTCAAAACAAGGGGTAGGATACCTCCTTCTGACTTATTGGTTAGGGAAGCCCTAGAGTCAACCCAGCAACACAGACTATTTCCATTGCTCCTAATTATCCACTATAACTAGATAAGACTCTACCCCTGAAGACACAATATACTTTGTTTGCAGGACAAAGAGAAGTCCAGTTGGAACTGATATTCCCTATCAGGTAGCTTTCATAGTGCCAGAAGGTACAATGCAGGCAGCTGAGCAAGAATAGTCACCAGTGTGATTACAGAATAGTGAATCCTGAATGCTGCAAAACTGACAATACCCACAAGTACAATAATAGTGGCCTGAAAATTATGAGAGTAGCTAATTGCTTTCTGACTGAGACCTATTCCATAGGAGAGAATACTTGTCCAGTATAATAAATCTGGTCAAAAGTCCATGGCTCAGAAATTCATGGGCCCTGAGGATGATAGGTGATGAGAACTTACTCTTGTCGTTTTGTTAAATAGAAATGTGGTCAAACTGTGACCTAAATCTTTATGTTTATTTCCACAGAACAATGCTTCTCTAAACCTTGGCCAGAGAAGCTTCTAAAAAGTAGGGAACAGTTAATGCAGATTCATAACTGGTCAAAGTGCTGAGAATACGTGATGGCTGAGTCCCCAGCTCTAAATGAAATACCCGTACCATTTACTGCCCTCCCCAAACCAAGACGTGAGGAACATCATGTAAGAAGGGATAGAAAGGATGTAAGGGGAAGGACTATTGTGGATGCTCTCTTCTGAACGTGGCATGCCAACTGAACTTGATGAACTCATTGCTCTATAGTTACCTACACAAGATCAAGCCACAAAAATCACTCAAAATTCCAGCAGAAAGTATTCTAGGCCTAGGTTATGTTGTACAGAGGCTAGAAGCTTCCAAGATCAGGCCTAGGTTAGCAGGAGATAGCAAGTCCCAAGAAAACAATTATAAAAGCTCCTTTTAAAAATGGCACTCAACATAGTTGGTAAGAACATCCAACATGATTGCATAAGAAAGCCCACAAACGCTGCAGAAGCAGAGGACATCTGAAAGAAACATCGTAGGGTACAGGAGACATCTGACAAAAAGCAGCAGAGGAGAAATCCAACTGGGATCATCTCCAGAGAAGATTCAGATGCCCAGAGAGACTAGGGAGACCTCAGAGTAGCAGGAGCGTTGAGCCCAGGGCAAGGAATGATGCAGAAGCCTCTGAGACATTGAATCACAGTAGGCCACCACTAAAAGATAATTTTAATTATATAGACAGAACTTTCTTTCATTAAAAATGGGAAACCATTTCAGATCCCTTCAGAACCAAGAATAGGAGCTGAATGATAGAAACATTATTTGAAAAAGCCACTGCAATACTCATTGCAATTATGACCACCCTCGGAATAAAACCCTCTCTACCGTCAATTGCAATCTTTATATTTTTCCTCTCAAAAAAGGTTGAACAAATAGCTGTACAACAAGAAAAAATAGCTATGATAATACAAAGGCTTCAGAGACAGAGACAGAGGAACTAGGAAAATAGGAAATGCTAAATTATGAACCTATGGTACCTAATGAAATTGAGGATCAAAGTAGACAGCCCATTGATAATGGATAAGAAGCTTGGCTCTCTGAAGTGGATGTTTTAACATCATAATGGAACCCAGGGAATATGTTATGTTGGGGAAGAGGTTTTGCCTATATTTCCATAAGTGATTAAAGACTGTAAGTTGCATCAAAATTGACAAAGATCCCATGTGAATAAGAGAAGCTTCCAAATGAAAGGTATGACTCAAAGAAGAGATGCAAAAAGACAACAATGCACACAATGCAGAAAGTAGATCCCCCTACATGAAGACACCTTAACAAACCAGTTGAAGAGGGAGAGATGATCAGGCTGGCAGATTGGAAAACCTTGATGCCGAAATGGACTGCTTGCTGAAAGACAGATGATCAGGACTGCAATTATGGAGGATCATCTCATCAATGGCTGAGTGGATCTTCATAAGGACATTTGTACTATTAAGTCTGTGGAATTGATAACTGTTTCTATTGTAAAAGTTAAACTGTGTACGTTTTTCTTTTACTTTTTTTTTTTTTTTTTTTTTTACTGTGTACAATTTTTACTTAAACAGAAAGGGTGAAGTCATAGAGGAATTTTAATTCAGAAAATGGCTGCTCTGGCAAGAGATCCTGCTGAAATACAAACATACCTTTAATCTAGGAGTCAGAAGCAAGCAGAACCAAGTTCAAGGCCAGCCTGATATAGAGCAAGTTTCAGGTAAAGAAAAGCTTAGGTCCAGGCATGGTGGTACACGCCTTTAATCCTAAACAATGAAGGTAAAGTTAGTTTGTAGAAGCAAGCACCCATGTTTGAAAGTGATGTCTAAATGAGTGACAGAAAAAGTAAAAAATCAGAGAAAGATCTGACAGAGTAGGCTACATCCAACTTTCACAAGAAGAGAAAGGGAAGTTACTTAATGGGCAATGCAAAGAGAGACAGAGAAAGGAGGGTGGGTAGGCAGTTTTACCAGGTAATAGAGAGAAAGGTTACATAGAAAGAACACAGGTGAAGATGAAACAAGCCAAAAAAATGAGAAGAAGCCAGAAGCTTAGAACAGATTGCTGGAGTTAGTTTGAGGCCAAGCAGAACAATTCAGAGGCTGAGAGAAAAGTTAGACTGAATAAATTGGCTGGGAGAGGAGTCTGAACTAGAAAGGCTGATTTGAACCAGCCAGCCCAGAGTTAATTAAGAACAAGAAAGGGTAAGCATAAAATCTCAGATGCTGAAAACATTCTAGGCCCAGGTTAGATTGTATGGAAGCTAGAAGCTTCCAGGACTAGGCCTACGTTAGCACACAGAGGCAATAATTTCTCCCTAGACAACAACTGAAACAGGCAAATAAAAGTTCCTTTTACACAGGACTCAGTGTAAATACCAGGGAGAGTGGGGATATATTAAAAAGGACATGAAGGTATGTATCCTGAGGGTAAACATAATGTGTGTGTATGAAATTTTCAAATAAATAAATTTTTAAAAAAATTCCAAGAACTCTGTTTTATGATCCTCTATTATTATTTAGTCTCAAACACACAAAAAGATTCAGAAAAGTCAACCAATTAATCTGTATCATAAATGTTTAAGGCAGTGTAAAGCCAGGCTCAATCCTAATAATCCCTATGACTCAGGAAGCTGAGACAGGAGACTTGCTGCAAATTTAAGACCAATCTGGCAACTTAAGTTGCAGTTCTCTCAGAATTATAAAGTAGCCCCTATCTCAAGGAAATAACTAATTGGTTCAATGGTAAGGACATGTCTCAAACAACAGGATTTCTTTATTTCCACCTCTGCATCAACTTTATAAATCTAGGGAGTTTATATAGCAAAGTATACTACACTTTAATACATACAATAAGAACAAAAACAAGCTTTAAAAAAAAAAAAAACTTACTTGATTACTGAGAAGAGAGTCCTAAAAAGCTGAATAAAAATTTCATTGCAATCTTCCAACTCAAAGCAGATGTTATATGATTTAACCCAAGCTAAATTCTTAAATCAATAAATAAAAATAATTGGTTAATCACATATACGAAGAACTGTTACACAAAAGCACATTGGTATAATTTAATTTTTATAACTAGGATTCATGATAGTAAAGTCTACAAAGACTCAATGTACACAATTACAAGTTATTCTAATCTTTAAAGACATGACTGGTGGCATCAACTTTCTCAAGTTGAAAAGTAGTGGTTAGGAGTTATTACAAATATATATCTATATATACATATATAGAAAAATATCAAATGTCAAATTAGTTTTTCAGTAGATTTACTTTTATAAATAGGAGAAAACATATTTCTTATAAAATATAAGACAGTTTATTAAATGTTATGTATAAAAGTTTCACTTTATATCACAGTTATAAGAATTTGCAACAACATGGAATTACATTTATTAAATAAAGTATTATTTTTACCTCTAATAAATAAAAGTATCTATTAAACTGTGGACTCTTTGTATCTTCCAAACCTTTTAATTGTCTGGTAATAAAGAGAAATATGTCCTGTTAAAAAAATAAAAAATGAAAACTATATTAGCTGAGACACTGTTACTTGTCATATGCAATATACTAAGTGCATACCTACATGTATACAGAGGTGTAAATATATAAAAGTAATTGCAAACTACAAAAAAGAAAGTTTTCCTTAGGCTGTGGAACAGCCTAGTCCATTATTTTAAATGACTGAAAAAGGTTAGAACCAACAAAACAAGATCCTTTTCAAGTAAAACTTTAGGTCTTCTCATTTAATACATTCTCTGTCTTAATACATTCTCTTCTGTCATAGAGCTCTGGTCATTCACTGTCTCTACTTTCATCGTGGCAAACTTCTGTCTTCATCTTTAAGAAATTTAACAAGACTTTTCATTAATACTCTTGACATGTAAGCAAGTAGTTTTCAGCCCATGGTTTTTATTTGATATATGACAACAAAGTTGTATGGAACAAACCCAAGATATTGATGTGAGGGCTGAATGATGTTTTCATTCAAAAGGCATTAGTATGGTACAAAATGACTTGTTTTACTGTGATCCTTAAAGTGGATGCTTTTAATGTATTTTGTGTTTTTCTTCATATACATATTCATGATAAAGTTTATTCTATAAACCATGTACAGTATGACATGAATAAAAATAACCACAAAATAAAACATTATTAAAGTTATTAAAAGGGCCATTATTAAAGTATGTCTTGAATAGAAACACTAAGACACTACTCCAGTTGCTCAGGTAACCAAGTGATTCACTAAGTGACTCACCAGACAGATGGTATATGTCTCAAGAGGAATAAAGTATGACAGTGAACTGCATTATAATCCTCAAAACACTATCAAATTGAATTTATGGAATGTTATTTCTGGAATTACGCACTTAATATTTTGGAGCATGGTGGATCACAAGGGACTGAAAGTATAGAAAGAGAGGCCATACTAACTGTACTTAAAAAGGGGAGATGGCTCAACGGTCAAGAACACTTGGCTTGAGAACCTGAGTTTGGTTCCCAGAACCTACAATTTGGTGGCTTGCAACCACCTGCAACTCATTTTAAAAACTCCAACATCCTCTTCTTACCTCTGCAAGTATCAACATGCAGGCATACACAACATACACAAATAAAGCTTTAAAAACAACAGTCCGAAGTTTACAGTTTTCCCAGGAATTATTCAAAAGTAATATATACAATCAGTTCAATAGATCACTTTAAAAACTATTGTTTTGAACAAAGGTAGAACCACCAAAATGAGCATTTTGAATATTTAATTGTCGGCATTTAATAACCTGTAAGGGCAAAAGTTATTTGAATAGACAATTCTAGTATATTATCAGTTTACTATCATTAAGCCTTATTTATCATTTACCTCTATTCAATTTGGCTTTCCTGATGGACTAACAGGAAGGTTAAATATGAACAGACCAGGACAAGTTCTGATCTTTACCTTTCAAAGCCTCATTCTGTACCCATCATTTCTGTAGATGATAATTATATGAAACCTATGATCAAAACCCATGTTTATTTGACAAAAATAGAAGTAATTCTGTAAACACTGTATTTACCTTAAGTTTATCGTGGGAAGTATACGGAGCTTCTGGGGCATAGATTCGGAATATATCAGCCAAACAACATGCTACGAGAAGGCGCACATCTTTATTAGGGTTCCTGAGAAAAAATTCAGATGCGAGATGCAAGGCTAGTGGCAGATACTGTTGCTTTTCATCTTCTGAATCCTGATCCATATCCATAAAAGTTTTCACTACCATCTGTAAAAAAAAAAAAATAATAATATCAATCTGTAATATTTAGTAATCAGTAAGAGATATCCCTTCTTCCCTTCTTTTTGTAAGTCTGCGAAAATAGAGCTGGAAATGTATAGGCTAGTGGTAGAGTACAAGGTCTTGGGCTCACTCTAAACCACCACAAGCATGCATAGCCACGCTCCCTAAAATATGGACCATAATCATGTAAAGCATGGTCATGTAAATCATGTAAACCATAGCACACATACCCTAAAATATGGACCATAATCATGTAAAGCATGGTCACAAAGAAACCTATGAAAAAAAAAAAAAAAAAAACAAGTAATCAACTTGTAGGTTACTCAAGACCCCTTATTTATTTACAACAGATTTTCTTAAAGGAACTTAAAAACTTCCATTAGTAATCATATTTAACTATTTATTTAGATGGGATCTTGCTAAGTTGTCAGAGCAGAACCAAACTCCTGGCCTCCAATCATCTTTCCCACTTCTTTGGATTCTCAACCAGCAGGAACTAGAGGTGTAAGTCCACATGCTTGGCTTTCATACACACACAAAACTTACTAAAAAGGTTTTAATCCCATATACACAACTGATCTGATTATTTAGCATCTTTTATATAATTTTCATTTCATAATCAAAGTTGCATTATATAGGCTCCTTAAACCTACTTCATTTGAAATTTTATTGACCTATATATAATTCAAAACCAGATTTAAATGTTTCATGTAATTGTTACTGTCTGATTGAAAGTTTTAACTATAAATAAATTATGCTGAGTTTCAGACCAACTTGAGCTACAGAGCTAGTTGGAAGTCAGTTTGAGTTATATAGCAAGACTCGGTCTTGTTTCTACTTTTCAGAGTACACAAGAAAGGTGCAATTTTTTTCATCTATTGCTAACAACACCCCCCCCCCAATGAAGCACCTTGAAACAGTAATTATGTACTTATCATGCAGTTAATATTGGGAACACTGCTTAGGCTTGGAATTTCTCAAAAGGGTACACTATGACAAAGATGTCATCTGAAGCATCTGAAGCCTTGAATGAGTCTGCAGGATATTTCAGTACTAGCCCATATTCATGGTGGCTCTAATTTATACTATTTCATCAAAGGAATGAGGTTCTCTCCATGGCCTCTCTAGGTAGCTACAAAATAAGCAAGTGCTATGACTTCTGCAAATATCCTCATAGTTACTAAGGTCAGAACTACTCTGTATTAGAAAAGACTTCACAAAAAATATAGGAAAACAGATATAATTTCAGGCAACCTTGAAGATGACTATAATGTACCAACTATATTTTATGTCAACTTGACACAAACTAGGTTCACCTGGGAAGAATCCTTTTCTTTTTTAATTTTATTTATTATTTTGTATATGAGTTATGTATGGTGCCCTTGGAGACAAGAAGGCAGCACTGGATTCCCTGACACTGTAGTTACAACAGGTGGTTGTGAGCTGTCATGTGGGTCTCTGGAACTGAACCTTAAGCCTTCTGCAAGAACAGCTGATGTTCCTAATTGCTGAACCATCTCTCCACCCCATGTAAGAAAATCCTAACCCCCCCCCCCCAAAAAAAAAAAATGCCTCCAAGGGACTGGCCTATAAGTAAGTCTGTAGAGCTTTTTCCTGATTGATGTGGAAGCACCCGGCTCACTTGGGTGCTGCCTCCTCAGCACCCCTCCATGATGCAGGTGGTCCTGGATAATGTAAGAAAGCAGGCTGAACAAGCCAGAATTCAGCACTCCTCCATGATCTCTGCCTCAGTTCCTGCCCTGACATCCCTTTGATGATGAACTATGATATGGAACTGTGTGTAAGCTTCCTTCCCAAGTTGCTTATGGTTATGGTGTTTTGTTACAGTAATAGAAACCCTAAGACACAAACAATCCCTCATCTTTAGATCTAATGTGGTTCTTTCTTTTTCACAATGGCTCTGGGTATGGCCATATGACATATTTGACTAGAGGGACATTAGCTAGCTTGATGGAGTTGGTAAGTACTAGCTTACCGAGGCTATAATGGTCCTTATGGGAACACAACTCCCATAATATTATGAAGCATCTCTGTCTAAAGCAGACAAGCCACATGCAGTACCCCGGGAAATTAGACCTCACAAAGGCCATGTACAGGAAAACAAGGAGAGTGATATCCTTCTACCTAAAGTTAAGCTTCAAGAAAACATGCTTTTACATTCCTATGGTTTATGTATCTATACCACAGTTTTGATTTCTGTAGCGCCCCCCCCCCAAGCGTATGGGTGTGCTATACAGAGAACCGAGAGGCTTGGCAAGTTTTGAGGGAGCTCAGAGCCACAGTGCTGGGATTAAAGGCCTGAACCACCACATCGGGCCTAGGTTCAGTTTATTAACTTTTTTTCTTTATGGTTTTGCAGATTGTGTTCTAAGAAGTCTTTGCCCAATCAAGTTACAAAGATTTTCGTTTAAACTTACTAATTAAGTTCTATAGTTTTAGGCCAGACATTGATCTCTACAGTTCCCTTGGGATTAATTTCTATATGTGCTGAAAGTTTTGGGTCAAGTACCATGGCAACATTGCTGAACATACACACACCACCACTAACTCTACCACAAAACTGTGATCTGAGGTTGGAATTACAGGCCAGCTACAAAGCTCTCCTGACATTTATTTGGCTCTGGGTATCCAACTGCCAGTACTCACATTTGCCCAGCAAGTGCTTTAAACACTGAGCCTTTTCCCAGATGCAATTACTGTAGTTTTACCGTGTATTTTGAAAGCAGATAGCATGTGAGTTGTCTACTCAGTATGAAAATGGGGCTGGATAGTGGTGGTGCATGCCTTAAATCTCAGTACTCATGAGGCAAAGGCAGCAGATCTCAGCCTGGTCTATATAGTGAGTTCCAGGACAGCCAGGGCTACACAGAAAAAACCTACCTAGAAAACCCAAAAAAGACAAAACAAAACAAAAAAAGAAAGAAAGTTGGGTAAGAGTTTAAATAAAAAAGAAAAACACAGCTGGGCAGTGGTGGTTCACACCTTTAATCCCAGCACTTGGGAGGCAGTGGCAGGTGGATCTCTGTGAGTACAAGGGCTGCCAGGCCTACATAATGAGTGAATCTCTACATACATATAGAGCCTCTCTCTACATACAGCGCTGAATCTCTCTACAATGCTACATAGAGAGACCCCACTTCAACCTCCCACCCACAAAAGAAACATGTAGTGGTGGCAAAAATATAAAATGGTATTATTGTGAAAAATTTCAATAAGATGAAGACACAGGTGCTAGAGAGATGGCTCAGTGGTTAAAAGCACTTGCTGTTCTTGCAAAGAGCCTGACTTTGGTTCTTAGCACCCATACTGGTCAGCTCATAACCATGTATAACTCAGTTCCAGGGAATCCAATGCCCTCCTCTGGCCTGCCTCTGCAGGCACCAGACACATATACAGTATATAGAGATGCATGCATGAAGCAAAACATACATACACATGGCTCAGTGAGCAGAGCGCTTGCCTAGCGTGCCCTAAGTTTAATCCATAGCACTACATAAGCCAGACAAGGTGGGAATACCTGAATCCTAACTCTTGGGAGGTGGAAGCAGGAGAATCATCCTCAACTACATAACCGATCAAAACTAAAATGCAGGCTCTTGTCCAGACTACCCTGTATACCCTGTCTCAATCCACTGTTCTGCCTCAGACTCCTAAATACCAGGAACTACAGGTTACCCAGGGTACTTTTAAATACTTAACTGAAAATATCACATAAAGACTCATGAATAATTTCTTATTATCATATTAAGACTATCTCAAAATTGGGGCTGGAAAGATGATTCAGTGGTTAACACTTGTAGAGGACCTGGGTTCAATCCCCAGCACACACATAGTAGCTCACTCCTGTCTGTACCTCCAGTTCCAGGGGATCCAATGTCCTCTACGGGACTCCTCAGGCTTTGCACACAAAACACTCTATTCATAACTTAAAAAAATGAAAAACTAAAATTTTTTTGGAATCTCAAAATTGGAAATATCTGTTCATCAAAAAGTAAATGACAAGTGGGCATGGTGGTGCATGTCTTTAATTCCAGAACTCCAGAGGTAGAGGTATTTCTCTGAATTCAAGACTAACCTAGTATACAGATCCAGGCAAAGGCACTTTATCACCAAAAAAAATAAAAAATAAAAAACAACAGCAAACAAGTAAAAAAATACCCAGACAACTCTCATACTGCTTATTTGTTGTAGTAAATTTAAAAAATGAGTATTGTGTATATATTATTTATTATTGGCTCTAAGATTATCACAGAGGTATTATCTAACCCACTATCATAAATAATAAGACAAAGATACCTGTTAAGATTTATAATTGTCTCATTTACCTTGGGTCAGGCAGACATTTCACTTACACTGTCTCAATATCCTCACCATCCATCTCCCAGCCCCCACCCAATGCCACCCTCCTTAACCATCCACCTTCCTTCCATCTTATAAATACTCACTTTTATTTTTCATCTGGGCCTTTCTAAGCCATTATTGGAGTCCTCCCTCTAGGCCCATATGATTTCTTCTCTACTCTAACCCCTCATGGCATCCTCCTTCCTTCTCTCTTCCCATCTGTCTGATTCCTGTGATTCTCTCTTGAACCCAAAAGCCAGGAAACCTTAGCCATGCCTACCCCACTTTGCCCTGCCCAGGTATAGGCTGTTTAATCAACCAATCAGATATAATGACTTAGGCAGGTTTACAAAACAAGGATAGGTGTAACTAGATCTTGAGGCCAATAATTAGCATCAGACTAACCTCTAACAAATATTCATATAAATGAATACTAGCTGGCAATTACCTGTATCAATCTTTAAAATATGATGCAATGAAGTCTGACATAGAAAACTGACAAGACTAAAGGAGATAGGGGTAAAATTCCTGAGGATGACAGATATTCACCGTCACAATGGTAGTAATGATGTTAGAAATGAATGCACACACACACTTTTGAATATATATATGTGTGTCAAAGC